CTTTATTTCTACCCGCAACCAACAGTTGGTTGGAATGCAATGCTACCAAAATAGAATCATTGCTGATATAGCAGAAATCATTACTGAAATAGAGTGGCGAGACCTGCATGAACACAGCCGTAAATCACTATGATCAGTTGCAAAGACACATGCAACGCGAGCTAAGCACCCAACCAGAAAACAGGAACAGCACACCATGAGAGCGGGCTTTCTGTTATGTTGAAACTACGGTCATTACATCCGATATTTCGGGAAACTCCTATATCTGTGTGGAACTAGAACCTGACGTAGAGAGACCACACATGGGGCTTGCTGAGGTGGAGAGATCACACAAGGGACTTACCTGAGCTGGAGAGATCACACATGTGACTTACCTGAGCTGGAGAGATCACACATGGGACTTACATGAGCTGGAGAGATCACACATGGGAGTTACTGAGGTGAAGAGATCATACATGGGACTTACCCTACACAAATTTTCATTGTGCTTCTGTATCAAATACGGATAGGAAAATGCGCAGCCCAAAACTCTGACATCTAGACCCTGCCTGCTCTCGCGCCTGGTGTAACCTTCCCCTTGGCAATAGGGATCAACGACAGTGGTGACCCTCCCTCTGATGGTGGCGGGCACCCTCTGTGATTACCCTTCCCTGACGGTGGCGGGCACCCTCTGTGGTTACCCTTCCCTGACGGTGGCGGGCACCCTCCGTGGTGACCCTTCCCTGACGGTGGCGGGCATCCTCTGTGGTGACCCTCCCTCTGACGGTGGGCATCCTCTGTGGTGACCCTCCCTGACGGTGGCGGGCACCCTCTGTGGTGACCCTCCCTCTGACGGTGGCGGGCACCAGCCGCTGCCGCCGCAGCCTCGGCTATCGACCACCACCGGCTGCGGTAACTCAGGGCCGAGTTATCGGCCGCAGAGACGGCGCGGCGGGTCAGTCCGCCCGGTGGGCCCCGATAAGTACATGACTTGATCTGCTACGACCAGTGGCTCGCGGGGCCGCCGCGGGGCCGAAACTGGCCGAGTTCTTCAGAACCAAGTTAAAGGAAAGGCATCATGCAGCTTTGTCCCTGGTTCTGATTGCCTTTTTACGAGGTAGCTTAACTGATTCTGTCCTTTTGGGAAACAGCCTAGCCCCGCGCATTCAGCGACCCGGTTGCACTGGAGGCTTTTTCCATCCATGTTTTTCTAGTCATGAATGCAAAACAATCTTGTTTTCTTTGTTTTTATCACCTTTAAGCGAAGATAATTATTTCCCAACCACATGGTATGGCTGTTATAGTAAATTAATCATCCATATGCAGCGCGCATATTTATGCTTTTTAAGATAAGCGGAAGATGTTCTTGGGCAAATTGGTGTGACAAGTCACGCTCTTTGCCTAAACAAGTTATCCATTTTGGATTGGGATATCGATTTCAGAATTCATTAGGGTGTTGGGAATATAACCCCTCGCGTAAAACTATGCTGTCATATCTCAGCATGTCGAGGGCGCGCTAAAAGCACGTATTATTTTATGACTAGCGACTTTTATTCTCCGTTTCTATCATTTTGTTTTTTTAGATTTAGCCCATAACATTTTGCACGGATAGATTTCTGGGATCATAGCCCCCTTAAGCAATGGTTACTGTCTGACCGCCAGTCCCTGCCATCCGATCGTGAAATCCAGATTAACCGCGAAATTTGGCGGCGAAATTTTAACATGCTCGCTCGGCTCGGAGTGTCCCGTCTCTGACGTCATCTGACGTGAAGCGTAACCGCTACCACATACCGCAGGCCATCCCAGACGAGGGCAAACCGCGAGAGCTCACAGCGACTGGAACACCAGCAGGTGCTCTATCCAGCTGAACTATCGGGACGAACAAGTCGGACTCACGTGTTCGACGGACATACTCGCCTGTGGTGATTTGTTTTTATAGTTACGGTTGGGCAGATTTTCTTTTATGGTTACTTTTCCCGTGTATTGTCATACGATCGAAGTACGCGAGATGAGATGGAATGCCTCATAACTAGCTATGTATAGCATTTTGAGAAAATGTAAGTATGTGGCAAATAACGAAGCAGAGTTTCAGCTGTGGTAGTGGCCCATTTTTCGCGATTGCTGTGACTGTCCCCTGTCTCCGCCTGATAGCATGTCCATTCACCACCACGGGCGAGTTTATTTGTCGAATACGTGGGTCCCACTGGTCTGTTCCGATAGGTCAGTTGGATAGAGCGCCTGCTGGCGTTAGAGTCGCTTTGAGTACTTGCTATTTGCCCCAAGTCGGGTACTACCTAATCCGAGATCATGTGTAGAGGACTTTGCAATGATCAAAGAGCATCACGCTTGGAATCTTAGCTGAATAGGTTTATGTAACGTTTTGTGTGCGACTCTCCCACGAACTGGATGGACAGGAAAAGATTGTCCTTGCCTTCGCAGCATGCCCGCGAAAAAACCTATTACATGACAAATATGCTATGTCGTGGGCATAGATATACCTCATCCTGCTGGTAGTATTATATATATACATATATATATATATATATATATATATATATATATATATATATATATATGCGTTCGATTATTTTTGCGATATATTTTTGCTGGTGCACAGGCGGTTAACTAAAACAGCATTTTGTGCTTTAGATAGGTTTCAACAAGTTATCCTAAGCATAAAACATACAGAAGCACAAAATGTAAAAGATGCCACAGCACAAAATATAGTTATCTTTAACGGTCTATATATATATATATATATATATACATATATATATATATATATATATAGAGAGAGAGAGAGAGAGAGAGAGAGAGAGAGAGAGAGAGATATATATATATATATATATATATATATATATATATATATATATATATATATATATATATATATACATATATATATAGACATAGACATCAACAATATGTTTTCGCTGTGAAAGCACGTGCAATATTTTGAAATGATTTCATTTTGTTGTAATGCCCGACATGCAGAAGCGATGTGGAATACACTTTATTAGCCACGTTTTTTCCCCAGGGGATCCAAAATCATGTTCTCCGATCATGGTGTGTAAGGCTTGTAGAACCTTTGGAAGATGCCTTTTAATAAGCACTTTCCTTTGGACGGCCGGAATAGTGCGATTAATGCCGGAAACTAACCACGTAATTCAGAAGCCGTGCAAGCATGGTTTCTTACTTTATGCTTCTTGAGCCAACGAGCTCAAATACATTCGGGCGTGGTTATCCTCGTACCATTAATATTTGGGAGCGTTCGTCCATTTATGGTTCATGGAGGTCACGCATGGTGTGAAACATTCCTTGAGTCATTTTGGCATGAGAAGTACCCAACGCAGAATTAGCCCCAAGTCGGGTACTACCTAATCCGAGATCATGTGTAGATGACTTTGCAATGATCAAAGAGAATCACGCTTGGAATCTTAGCTGAATAGGTTTGTGTAACGTTTTGTGTGCATTTTTGTTGAGCATCCGGGAGTTTGAGTCCAGCCGAGTCGAAGTCGGGTTTGGCTTCGGACTTCCCAACTTGAAAAATAAAGGACTTGGATTCGGACCAAGGACTTGGAAGAACTGCACCACCCGATGGATCTCGTATCCTGGCTTAGGTGGGTCAAGCTTGCCTCTGCTGACCTTGTTGGATTTGGCACGGTTTTGGCCACGTTTGGGTGTGTTAGGCTGAGTGAAATGACCTCGACAGAGATTTTTTGGTTAAAAGATTTGACTCAAAGCTTTTCGATTGGAGGGATTTCTGTGCTTAGAGCTCATGCAAAGCGGTGCTTGTTGTGTGAGCCCTGATCCGCACCATCCGATCGCTCAATTCCGGGTCAACAGCAGATTTTTGCGGTAGAGTTTTAGCGTGCCATTATGCGCGGAACGGTCTGTTCTGCCCTCTGACGTCACTTGGCATTTATCACAGCCGCTGCCACCGGCTGCAGGTCATACATATCAAGGACAAATAGCGAGCGCCCAAAGCGGTTCGAGCACACCCCACCACGGGCGGGCGGATCAGAAGGCAAGCATCCTAACCAACTGAGCTATCAAGGCGGGTATAAAGCTGCGTATGAGTACGCGTAGTCTGCTAAAACTTCATGACGGCTATCAACACGTGCTCATACTTTGATAACCATCATAATTCAAACGTCGATACGGCAACACCTTAATTAAAGCTGTGGTAAGACTAGAGTAGGGTCAGGATGATTTCGGTGTAATTTGAAGCCATATTCTTACTTGCATCCCAAACCTTCTCTACGCGTGAAAAGTTGACATAGAACTATACTTTTGATATATAGTCCCGTTTTATAATGATACTGATAGGACTCGGCTTCGGGATCCTGAGATAGACTTATATTTCAACTTGGACTAAATCTATGAGCCTTCACCGGACCCAGATTCATGAGCGTATGATATTGCAATCTGACTCACGCAGTGCGTCACGAGCAGACATGACCTCAGCCTGAACACATGACCTGCGTGACCTGGAGTCGGGCTTGACCCCGCTCCAGATTGTGAGCGTCCGAGCATTGCAGTTGGTACAGCGCGTGCTATAAAATCCCCACATCTACGGCCAAGGAAAGACCCGCTTGCGGTTTGCACCTCTGCCGTCTGTGGAACCGCAGAGTATATTTCCCAGTATGTCTGACGTCATCCCATTCAGCTCTCCTGGCCACATTTCTGGCATGCACGACCGCCGGTAAAGCTGCAGCATTTAGGGGCACTGGAGTCCGGCGCCCGCCGTCGGGACGTATCCGGCCCGACCGGCGTTCGATGCCGCCACTCTGGCGCCGCAGTCCCGACGTCCTCTGCTCGGGGGATCGATGGAAGGAGGCGCGCCGTGAGGGGGATGCAGCCGTCGCCTTAGTCATGCCGCCCCCGTCCCCGTCCCCGTCCCCCCCCCGCCCCGCCGCCGGGCGAACCGGGTCCGACGGCCGGCGGATTTGGAGGCGGTCCAGCGGCGCGGTCGCCGCCGCCGCCGCCGCCGCCGGGCTTCGACTCCAGTGCTGCAGGATGTTTGTGCTGGACGGGGCACGCCAGGCCAAGCTCTGCGTCAATGGATCCATCTGTGAGTCCCCCGCCCTCCTTCCCGCCACCCAGCGGCGGCGCCGATTGGTTGTGAGTGGCTGCGATTGGCGCGCGGAAATGTGAAAGAAAGTGCTATTTGGGCGGCGAATAAATGGGCGCTGGTGCTGGTGCCGCGGACGCGGATCGGACGTCGGAAATGGTGCCGCGCGTCGGGAGCGCGCTTACGGCACCAGCGCCGGCTCGGAGCGTGCTCTTTTGACGCTGCACAGACCAGGGTAGAGATTTTCGGTGTCACGCCGGGTTTGTATTGGGCTGACATCGGGTAGTCCACACGCGAGCGGCACATTTGCTTGTGGATGTTCAAGTGAATGTCCAGGTTGCGTTTGGCTGAGCCGTTGATATCCATGCTCTCAACGCCATAAGTCAAGCACCTGGAGCTGCCGTTGTGCTTTAAGAGGGGTTTCCTTTCGTTTTGTAAATTATCGGAAGCATGTCGTGTGCAGCAATTATACCTAGTTCAATTGTACGCTTTTGTCTGCCTAATTAATATTTCAGTCAATGCAATGCGCGACCCGAAGTGAGGACGCCTGTCTAAAGGGACTTTTTTACCGTTAGCCATACCACTACAGCCAATGGTTTGCCTTCGTGGTAGACTGTTCCGCGGGGCACGTATGTGTTACGGCACAGCTCGCGTGTGGGTAGCTTAATACCTTTTGGAGTTGGCCATCCTCGTTCCAGGGCCCAGACTCATCAGCTGTCGTATCCGGGGCGTAGGGGAGGCGGGGAACGGGATCCTCCCCTTTTTTAGATCTGCATTTTTCTATGTAGGAAACCCCTTTAAGAAAATCCTGGTTGTGTCCGTGGTCGTATTCAACGCATAGCCGCTACCGTTCTCGCCAGTTATGCTGGAAATGTAATGCGATAATAGAACATGATATAGGTCTAGTGAAATTTAAGTTCCAAAAGAACGTTGACGGCTTGGTTTCCTAACGTGGCAGACGCGTGTGCCTCTTTCAGAGATGACAGACCCACACACTGGCGCCATCCATCAGCACTTACTAGGTGAATTATGCTGACGCCTTAGTTAATACTTGATAAATGAGGCAGATGAACTTGTTTTCACGCGCACGAGAGCTGGCGCTCACGATAGCATAGGCCCTGAGCAGTGTTATTGGTTTGCTACTTTTATTTTGCAGTAGCGAATGATGAAGTGGTTTGGTCGCTTCCAGGTACTCTCCCCTTGATAACGATTTGGGTACTTCGATCGAAGCCCTCCGACGCGAACGAAAGTGTGGTGCCAGGCTCTGTGTTCCGATCCGCAGTCAGAACTGCAGCCCCTGCAAGCTGCACTTTATTAAAAAAGGCAAAGGCCGTAACCTTTTTTCCTTTTTCTGTTCATACAATTTATGTTTATACGTCAGGACTACTAATTTGAAGATATTTTTCTTGCCTCGGCATTTTCTGGCGTATTTGGCACATTGGACTGCCTTGCGGAGGTCCGACCCCTCCAGTGGCCACAGGTCAGATGAAAAATCAATGCTTTCGAAAAATGTCTCAGTCACATGTCCTTGGCAAGCTGTCTATAATATGTGGCTAAATGGGACAAAAATGAACCATTCACAGCATTTGCTATATCCGAGACACATTTGCTTGTACTCCTACAAAACTGGTACCGGCTGAGGTCAGGAAATATCCCAAAATGTTTACCTAAATTATCTGAGTCGCTCCAGACGTCTGATTACCTTGACACCCCCACACCTTATGACATATATGGGAATGATAGCTGCCTATAAAATATGTGGTCTGTCTTCACATATTTACTGGGTATGTGTGCATTGATGTCCATGCTTGGTCGAGAGATGAAATATAGCTTTATCGTGAATGTGAAACGCGTTTACGTCTTATATGGGTATGTTCATTTAAGCAATTCACAAAATGCTCCTTTTGCGTGCAGCATCTAGCGTCTAGAGCTTGTCGGTCGCTCACTAATATGTGTAGTTTTAATTAGCCTATCGCAAGTCCACAGCTTTCAGCACTGGCACGCTGCGGTCCGAAATGATCCCGCTTGACATGACCTCGCCGAAATGGTCCCGCTTGGCATGACCTCGCCGAAATGGTCCCGCTTGGCATGACCTCGCCGAAATGGTCCCGCTTGGCATGATCTCGCCGAAATGGTCCCATTTCCGCATCACACGCTTTTGGCGTTTGATTGTGTGGTGTATTAGGTGATCCAAATGATCTTGGCTGTGAGTTAAGTGACCTAGGGTTTACCTTGACCTACCGCAAGCTCTTGACACCACCTGCGTGTCAATTAGACTAGTCGCCAGTATAGCACCCACAACTATACAAAAACAGTTTAGGATACAATGTTGTCACAAGTGTCTTACTTTTGTGAGGCAAACGCGACGCCATCAGGCTAATCCGACCTTTTGAATAAACCATCCCAGCCTCGCACATACAAAACCTTTTAACCAGATACGGCCCAAAAATACGCATGCGAACGTGGAACAGGCTTATTAATTAAACGCGTTGACATTCCACCAGTTTTATGACAGCTTTGACGTGACCTAGGAAGACCAGAACTTCAAAGTGTTTCATAAGGTGTCTTGAACATAACTTGACAGATCATAGAGCTGTTAGATTCCTATCTTATTGCCTGGAATCATGGCAAAAACTCAACGGGATGCGTGCGTTTAAACGCCACTCACTCTGTCAATGGCAGGTCGATGACCTCACTCTGCTTAGTGCTTGATGAGCGTCTTAAAGTAACACAGACATCCAACATTCAACGTGCTCTTTCGGTCCGTTGAACGGGGAGTGCTGAAACATTTGGAATACTCAAAAGGGCGAAAGCAACTGCTTTGTTTCTGCAACTGCTTCACACAGCTGACGACTCATGTACTCGGTACCCATCTCTGCAAAGCCTCCCACCGCACCTTTACGCATGGCAGCCCATCACTCAACTCCACGGGTCTGACTGGGACCCTATCCCCACCCACGTCATCACATCTATCGCCAAGACCTCAGGTGGGTGGCCCGCGGTGCGTCCCCCTCCTTTCCCTGCCGCGCCTCCACTCGACCGTAATATGTGATTTCCCTCGGGGAGCCGGCAGCCGACCTGTGAGCGCTTCGTCAATCGCGCGGTGACGTCATGCGCGCGATGACGTCACGGGGAGGCGTCTCGGTCGACCCACCCGCGCCGGGACGGCCGACTTGTCAACTGGCGACCGCAGCGGTCCGCTGGGATCGTCCGGCCGCGCCATCGCACTGCGCAGCAGACAGCTGCCCGCCCCAGGCGCCTCTGCCAGCGTCGGTGGCAGCAATGACGTCATCCGGGCGCTTCCGTTGCAGACGACGCGGTGCTGCCGGAAGCCGTCGGAATCCGTGCCGTGGGCGGCGGGCTCCATCTCGAGGGCGGCGAGCACCATCCCCCGCCCGACGGCTTCGTCCCCGCGGGCCGAGGATTCCGTGCGGCGGGCGGTGGCTTCGACCCCGCGTTCGCCGGAGGTCGCCCCGCCGGCGGCGGCCGCGGCCCAGCGCCGCCCCGTGCCGGACACCCTCTGGTGCGCAGACACACCTTCTCCGGTGGCAGCGCCGCCCCGCGCCCTCCGGATGCCATGGACCCGGACGTGAGTGCTCGGGCTCGTGCCGCTGCTCCAGCGCCACTTGCGCGTCGCTAGTAGTTGTATACACCTGTGGCTTCGCCCCACGGTCGGCGGCCGAGGGGCTGTAAAGTTACGCCGGGGAACGTGGTGCCTGAGTTATGACAGTGGTGCTTGTACTCACCAATATTTCAGGGGTGGTTGCGGCGTTTGCATGTCTTTGGTTGATGACGGCCATTGTCATCAGAGGCGACGTCATGTCATGCGTGGTTGTACAGTTCAGGGTCGTTCGTTTGAAATAGCCGGCACTAGTCTGCTCACCAGCGTGTCTCTGTGTCTCTATGGCCTTATGTGGTTCACGTAGTGCTTGACCGTAGCCTGCGGTCCCGCGGGGGCTCCTGAAGTGACCAGTGAGCCGTTACGACCGCCACCAACGCACGGGCTGCGCGTTCTGAGGCCACATGGGGTCAACTCCCTGCTTCGGCTCCGATGCCAAGACCCGAACCACTGATGCGGTCCGGGCCTACCCGACCGGCCAGCGGTGTTGTCGCCGTCCGCCGGGCCTCTAACAGCGGCGTGCCCCTCCGCCGACGGGCGCCTGCAGAGCAACAAAAGCTCCTCGGACTCGGAGCGGCCGTCGGCGGGCTCGAGGCTGCCCCCGCACGGCTGCCCGCCCCGCCAGGACCGGCGCGCCTGCCCGACCCTGCCCGGCAGGACGAACAGCAGCCGACATCAGGTGAGGGGCGACGGCCGCCGGCGAGAGGGCAGCACCGCAGCGACGGTGTCGGGTCAGCACCAGCATTGCTACACGCTTGGCTGATCTAACAGCGAAAGGGATCGGATCAGGACCAGTATGCACTGCGGACAGGTCAGGACCAACAGTGACATCTGTCAACTTGTTTCCGACAGCGACAGACACCAGGTCAGAGCCAACAGGGTCACACGTCAGATAAGTCCCCGTCGGTAAGGGACAGCCTCTGCAATCATCACTGGTCTGTTCCACAAAGTGGCGCTACAGGCGTGCGCCGCTTCTATTTGCACTAAGGAACCATACGGACTGGGAACTGCTCAGTGGCATCCCCTTTCACGACAGCCGCTTACGGCAGGGATTCAATTTGATACCGAATCTGCAATGGGCGGAAATTGGATAAGCAATTGTGGCACTTACCGTTTGTCGCGAGGCCTATCAAGCTAGCCAGTAAACTTCACTGCGTCATCATGTGCCAATTCGACATTTTACGTCCCAGATTTGGTTCAATGGAACCAAGCTCTAAAACACTGCAAACTTAAATGACGAGCAGATGGATGATGAGAAGCCAAAAAAAAAAACTCTCCGAAATACAAAGTTATGACCATTTTGATGGCCCTGGTAACAAAGCACAGGTTTCAATCCTGCGTGTCCTATTTTCGGTGGATTTCAGATTTACTACCGTATTATTTCCCGATCTAACATGTCAGCATGAAACAGGCTTATGTGTGATGCTTTTTTAATTTAATTAATTTCCTCTCCAACTGACAGGGTGAATCCGTATCCAAACGCGATGCAAGGGTAGTGTCACGTTATGGAACGGGTTTTGCATTTATATTTTCTGCCTGTTATTATTTGCCAGGCTTGTAGCTTTTGCAGAATACGCAGGCCGGTTTTGCGATGTATTGAATGGCTCAAATTTCAGACATTATAAAACAGATTGAGCAGAGTCATTAAGCAACATCATTAGCAAACATTAATAACAAGCTTGTTAATATTGGAATACCATAATATAGATAATACACTCGAAAGAGCAGCGCGAGCGAGTAAACAGCGCAAACCTAGCTGAACGCTCAAAATATTTCAGTTTCTTTCAACATCGAGCATTTCCAGTCCACCATGGATGTTGTCCGGCCCCTGATATGTTATGGTTTGCTAAAACGAAACTTGAATCTGAAACTGCCGCTCCTTTTTTGTCTGGACCTCCATAACACCAACAGATCGAACCTCTTTTCTGGAGCCGTCACCAGATGACAGCACCGAGCCAGACGGCGCGGGCGAGCCGGAGATATAAATTGCGTCCAGCTGTTTCTTGCAAACTTCTCGACCACCGTGCTTTATATGACGGAGAACGGCGCGCGCCATCCAGTCCAGGGCGGGCTCAGGCTGGTGAGCGGCGGAGAAAACGCGGCTGGGCGGCGGGGCTCATGCAAGGATCCTATCAAAGATATTTCCGTTTTGTTGCGTTCAATCTGGCTGGAGGGCCGCGGCAGGCACGGTTAACGTGGCTGGTGAATTTGTGGTCAGCCCCGTCAGGGTGTGATGGGTTTGGGTTGGACGCCCGACCCCGCCGCCCGCGGCTATTCAGGGCGCTGGCGCAACGTGCCAAGCTCAGAGTAACCACGCAGAAATTCCTGGTATAACCACGTCAACTTGAGGCTATATCAGGTATGCAACTTTTTACGACCCTCATGCAGCACTGTGGCACCAGGTCTGTCAACTGTGAACTGTGACCTGGCATTTTGCAACATGTTGCGACACACCACCGTGCGCGAAATCCTCACCGTTACGCTACCACGATTTTGCACTACTGTGTGTCCTATAAGAGCACATGTTGCACTACATGTCTCACGCCCGGTGGGCAGCGCCTCCTACAAAGCTAGTTCTAAAGCATCAAACGGCCGTGCACTTCGCAGGCTCAGGTCACTGATACGAACGGCCGTGCACTTAGCAGGCTCGGGTCACTGATACGAACGGCCGTGCACTTCGCAGGCTCAGGTCGCCGATAGTTCGTGGCTAGCATTCGCTTGCCAAACAACGCCCATATTCGTTCGGTGTGTAGGCGGGACTGGCCGAGGCAGCCAAGTCCAGCCGCGTTTGCATCTCCTGGGTTATTCGTGGCCAGATTTCGTCACTCGTGCCTTTCTCGTTGCCACGCGGGCAGCGGCTGAGTCATCACTCCGGCCCCAGGCCGGCATTCCCTTACTGCATCCTGGCCATGTTGCTCTTGGCGGGTGGTGTCGGCCCATGTCCATCGCCTGATGAGGCCATTACTCAATCGATCCGCACACGGGGGAACGGGGCGGCAGCACATGTCTCGTGCTGGTGACATCACGGCGCCGGTCACGAGGCGCGGAAATAGCCTCAGGGGCTGAGCAGCATTATGCAGGTGTCTTTCAACATCACTGGCATGCACTTGATGTGACGTTGCTACGTAAGTTGCTACAGTTAATACGTGTTATGTGGATCTCGGCTTGAGTGGTGCCACCGCGCCTTTAGTGCCACCACCATGCATTTATGGCATGGTCCCTGATGAACAGTCGATGGTTACGGTTGGGCTCTACCACTACCTTTTCATCTGGCGAACGCTAACACACTTCAAGATGAGTCACTTATGAACTCCATCGAGTTGCATGACCTTGTTTTCCTGCACACTTAATGCATCGCTACCGTGTTATGTTTCACCCTTTTGTGGTAATTGCAACCATTTTCCTTTTTTGCACGGATTAAGTAATCCAAACCTTTTGATTGGATACATTTATGAGATCGGAGCTCACACTAAGCGCGACTGTTGCGCGACTTGTGACCTCACACTTGTGACCTCACACTTGTGACCACACACTTGTTGCGCGACTTCTGACCTCCACGATCGGATCAAGGATTCCAGGTCAACGGCAGCGCTTTGCGGCGGAAGTGTGACGTGCCGTAGAGCCCGCCATGGCCCGTCCTGTCCCAAGACGTCACCTGACCTTAAGCGCGGCCTAGATAGCGTTTAAAGCGACTCATGTCCAGTCCGTCACTGGTGGGGGTGAGTCGGGCGACAGGTGCTCCAACGAACTGGGCTATAAGGAGTGACACATACTAAAGTGGATGCATCAGGTCCCCCACCACTCCCCCCCCCCCCCCACCCCACCAATGTGTAAGTTCCTTATCAGGCAACCTTTGGCAGACGATGCGCAACGCCTTTGCACCGTTATCAGCCCGCCAGTGGAATACTGACGGCTTTGTGGCCTCTTAAGTGGGAGCCCCAAGCCACATCATCAGACGCGCACAAAGTCTGTCAGGGCAGGGAGGCAGACACTGGCTTTCAGATCCGACCAAATCCTAGCGCCAGCCAGAGGTCGGGACGTGGTGAGTTCGGAGCAACACGATCAGCAGGTGCAGCTTCATCAGACACTATCAGTCTCGGCACCCCTCACGGCCCGCCCTGCCGCCGCCTGTCGCCACGGCCGCGCGTCACACCCCGTCGATAGCGTCTGCCGGCTAGTGAGTGTGTCACCGCCAGCTGGTGAGGCGCTCGAGCCACGCCCCGTCCGGCGCCGGGCGCAGGCACCTGTCACCGCCGTCGGAGCAGGGCGGTGCCGGCCGTGCCGGTGTTCGTCTGGAGGGCTGGGAGGGGTGCCCTGGCGCTCAGCGGGCTCGGTGGACTCGGCGGAGCCCAGCGGAGCCCGGTGGAGCCCGGTGAAGCGCGGCGGAGCGTGGTGGAGCCCGGCGGAGCCTGGCGGAGCCCGTTGGAGTCCGGCGGAGTCCGGCGGAGCCCAGTGGAGCCGGCGGAGCCCGGCGGAGCCCGGCGGAGCCCGGCGGAGCCCGGCGGAGCCCAGTGGAGCCCGGCGGAGCCCGGTGGAGCGCGGCGGAGCCCGTTGGAGTCCGGCGGAGCCCGACAGAGCCCAGTGGAGCCCGGCGGAGCCCAGTGGAGCCCGGCGGAGCCCGGCGGAGCCCGGCGGAGCCCGGCGGAGCCTGGCGGAGCCCGTTGGAGTCCGGTGGGGTGGCTAGGAGTGTTTGTGCAGTGCTGAGGAGCGAGTGTCTCGAGTAATCTGGGCGGAGCGGGCGTGAAAACGCGGGGAGTGACGTGAGCTGGCGTGACGTGGACAAGGTTATGAACACGAATAGCTGCTCTTGATTTATCCGTGCGAAGAGCCGGTCGAAGACGTCCAAGGCGCGCCCCTAGTTGAAGTGCTCGCTGACGTCAGCGCAGGTTTTCGGCGACATCAGTGGAGGTCCTCGGCGCGCCTCGGAGGTGTCAGGCAGTCGAGCCCCTGCCGGCATTCCTGCTGCCACCTGCGTCGCTCCCATGCCGTGATCGGACGGCCCCGCGATGGTGGTGCAGGGCCTGTTGCGGGTGGCGCCACGCGACTACTGCCGCCTCTTTGCGCTCGGCTCTCCGGACGACCCGCGCGCCCCCAGCCGCTCCCGGGTGCTCTCCGACGTCCTGCTGGCGGACCTCGCGGACCGCGGTCCGGACCGCGGTCCTCCCACTGGGGCGCGGAGCTTGGGGCCGCTGAAGCGATCCGACAGCGCCCCGAGACTGGTCATCGACTCGGTTCGCTGCTTACGGTCGGGGCCGCATGGCGACTCTCCCGCCTCGCGGGTGGACTCTTCCTGCTCTTCCCACGCCTCGCGGATGGACTCGTCCTGCCCCTCCTCCCCCGCGGCGCAGGTGGACTCATCCTGCTCTTCCGGCGGGGTCGGTGTCTCGGGTCGCGTGGTCACTGACCAGTTCGGCTTCGCCGCCGGCGTGGACACCGACCTGGAAGACGACGTGTTCGCGGACTCGCCGGCGAAGGGCGCTGGCGGGGGCAGGACGGCTGACGCGGCCCGCGACGGCCTGTGGCATGTCAAGCTGCTCCCCAGGTCACGGGGGCGGCCGGCGGGGCGGCGACCCTTCCCGAATTGGTGTCTCCCCCCGCGCTGCCCCTCAGACGGGGCTCGGATGCCGCGCTCGCTGTCGGCGGACGGAGCGGACGGGAGGAGACAGGTTCGCTGGTGTCTGCTCTTGAGCCGGCCGGAATGCGGCTCGGATCGAAACTCACCTACCTGTCTCGGTTGCTCAGAACGAGCACACTCTGACCGACACGTGATGAAACGTCGATAACTGATCGCGTGGAGTTCTGGTGCAAATCTACAAATCAGTCATAAGTCTTGTTGATCACATTTGTCTTGATTTTTAGCAAGTGAAGCAGATACCTATCAAACATGAGCATCAGAATTATTCTGAATGATCTTGCAGTTTGCAATGCATTGTGTATCATCCGTTTTATTTGAGTGTCGTCGAACTACGCATCTAACGTTCCATTTATAGCCGCGTATTGACCAGCGATAGGTGCGGATGGCCACAAACCGTTCCTTACACCTCCACTCCTGTCAAAGCTTCCAAAAAAAAACTATTTTGGTTGCTCAGCCGCCATTGTCGCACTGCACCACCCTGCCATTCACAGCAGCCACTGATGACCTGCTGACACCCCCGAGATCGTCCAGTCCACAGCAGTAGGTGAGAGCCTGCTGCTCACTCCTCTGTCCTCCCTCCCATAGCAGCAGACGAAAGCCTGCTCTTCACTCCACCGTCCTCCCGCCCACAGCAGTAGATGAGAGTCTGCTCCTCACTCCACCGTCCTCCCGCCCACAGCAGTAGGTGAGAGCCTGCTCCTCACTCCATCGTCCTCCCGCCCACAGCAGTAGACGAGAGCCTGCTCCTCACTCCACCGTCCTCCCGCCCACAGCAGTAGACGAGAGTCTGCTCCTCACTCCACCGTCCTCCCCCCCCCCACAGCAGTAGGTGAGAGCCTGCTCCTCACTCCACCGTCCTCCCGCCCACAGCAGTAGACGAGAGCCTGCTCCTCACTCCACCGTCCTCCAGTCCACAGCAGTAGACGAGAGCCTGCTCCTCACTCCCCGTCCTCCAGTCCACAGCAGTAGACGAGAGACTGCTCCTCACTCCACCGTCCTCCAGTCCACAGCAGTAGACGAGAGACTGCTCCTCACTCCACCGTCCTCCAGTCCACAGCAGGTAGACGAGAGCCTGCTCGTCACTCCACCGTCCTCTAGTCCACAGCAGTAGACGAGAGCCTGCTCCTCACTCCACTGTCCTCCCGCCCACAGCAGCAGATGAGGAACTACTCGTCGCTGCCGCCGTCGTCCACCATGTTCGACGATGACCCGGGCATCATGTCCGAGGCGGAGACGTCGTCCACGGGCTTCCGACGCGGCGCTAAGGTGCGCTCCTCTCTGCCAGTCGTCCGCACGCCCTCCAAGACCATGGAGCGGCCGCTGGGTAAGGCAGCAGCACCATCGGACACCACCTGGACGCCATCGGATACCATCGAACGCCACCTGACGCCACCGGGTGCCACGGCACCCGTCCGTTGAGCTGTTGGAGTGGTGGTGATGGTGATTTGGGGCTACAGGGAGCTGTTACTGCCTGGGGTTATATATGGTCGATAGACAAATGGTGTGGTGTGGCAGGACACCACTGGGGGCCGTATCGCGTCCACCTTCAGCCACGGCAGGGTGGCAGAGTGCACCAACCCGCCACCAAACCCGCTTGTGAATTAGTGGAGGAAAACAAAGTTAGCTAGTCAAAGTTCAGGACTGAAATATGTTGTTGATCTTCCCTTGCTACCCACTGAGTATCGTTTTTGTTAGAGCAGGCCGACTGTTTGAGCAGACAGGTAAACATCACCAGCTGGGATGTCAGGTTAGTAAATAGACTGGGCGTCGCTTATCACATATCGGCCTTTGCCAGAGTTACACCTACCGAGGAAACCACTGACGTGGCGCGAGGCGCGCGTGCGGTGTCGAAAGCTCTTTGAACTTGCGCGCTCGCCGCCCTCACCGGCCGGTGCTCTGAGCGTGCGCCCGTCGCCAGGCGTGGTGTTCCTGCAGTACGGCAGCGAGACCAAGCGGGCGCTGCTGCCGAACGAGGTGACGTCGCTTTACACGGTCAAGGCGCTGTTCGTGCGCAGCTTCCCGCGCCAGCTGAACATGGAGTACCTGGACTCGTCGGCCTGCAAAATCTACATCCTCGACTCCAGTCGCGACATGTTCTACGACATGGAGGACTTGAGGTGGGTGAGCCGGGAGCGGGGGATGTCGCCTGGGACGAGAGAAGAGGAACAAATGTCAGGGAATGGAAAGACCAGAGACGCTCACCCAATATTTATGTTATTCTACAAGTAGCAAGACCGCATGCCTTTCAAGCAGTAAGACTAGTGCCTCAGAGAATCCACCTAGTCTGGATCGTCGGCGCCAGCTACACAGCGGTGGTGGCGCCTGTACGTCGGCTCCGCCCACAACCTGTGGTTATTAGGGTTACGGCTCAGTTCCAGCCGTTATCCGTGGTCTGCCCTGGCAGCTGGTGCAACCTGTCCTGTCTAGCTCGGCGCACTCAGCTTAGGCGGGGTCCAGTGGGCCTGTGTGAAGACTTTAGGTAATGTCTATTGGTGGACATCGGCAGAAATGGCCAAAATTTGATGATACTTTACACTTGCCTTATTTAGGCAAATCAGGCAAGTCAAGCTCCACGATCAATTATTGCCTGTCCATTATTGCTGGTTCTCACTATTTGCCATGTTTATTTTCTCGTCGGACAGAGGGCAGCAGCTGTTCGGAGGCATGTTTTTACATCCGTTGGCGGACATATTAGCGGGCACTCAGGCGCATTAGTGGTGCACTGCTCGCGTCCTGTAGCCCTGACGTCTGCTGCACCGGTAACATGTGCTTTTTTCCGCAGTTTGCCATCCAATTTACATACCACACAGCGCACACATAAACGCCATTATATTAATAGTATTACACGCCCGACACAAGAAAGAGTGCACATGTTTTTTGGCCTTTGATGCTGAAGCAGACCGCTTATCCCGCGTCTGGCAGGTACTCGTGCTGCATTCATAACATGACCAAGCTGGCTGTGAGCCGCGCTCGAGGCGCATGTTCTAGCTCCGCCCTCCCAACCGCCCTCGGTCGTGGCCCTCTGCCACGGAAGCGTCCCTCTGCATCCCGGAACCCGACCCCGACTGTGGCCTGACTCGGACCCCGATCCTGCCCCAACCCGATATTGACCCTGCCCGGACCCCGATATTGACCCTGCCCCGACCCCGATATTGACCCTGCCCCGACCCCCAGATTGACCCTGCCCCCCCCCCGAGATCGACCCGGCCCCGACCCCGATATTGACCCTGCCCGGACCCCGATATTGACCCTGCCCGGACCCCGATATTGGCCTGACCCTGCCTCGATTCCGATACTGAACCTGCCCGGACCCCGACCCTGCCCCGACCCCGATACTGACCCTGCCCGGACCCCGACCTTGTCCTGACCCGAACCCCGACCCGGCCCCGACCCCGATACTGACTCTGCCCGGACCCCGACCCCGACTCTGTCTTGACCCAGATCGTGGCCTTGTCCTGACAGCTCCCCCCCCCCCCCCCCCCACCTCTGCACCACAGGGATGTGAGGGACCGGTCGGTGCTCCGGATTTTTGAGACGGGCGCCACCCACCCGCCGCCTGTGAATGGCACCTCATGGGAAGACAACAGCTACTTCAGCGAGCCGGAGTTCGACGGAGACTACCAAAGCCAACACGTACATAAAGCCAAGGTTAGCTTTGTTCGGCTACGAATGTGCGATCTGGGCTGCGGCACGCAGCATTGGCACCATATCCAGCTGGCGGCGTGTTGTCAGATTCGTGGCGTAGTGAAGTTGCGTCGCATATACTTTGTTTGCGTTTGTCTGGCTGTTTCGGGACTGGCCGCCGACCGCTGTCCACCTGTTTCTAGGGCAAGAGCAGAGGGTATGAGATGATGAACTCGTTTCCTCCCGGAGGCCGACCGGTGGGGACGTACCCCCCGCGAGTCGCCCCTGAGTCCGCCTCTACCAGGCCGCACCGACCGGGCGCAGGTGAGTGCCACTCCGGCCACTGCTTCATGCTTCTCCGGGTCACTCCGGCCCATGCTTCCGATGTAGGCAACAGGGAAAGAGGGGAGGAGCATACCAATGTCATATCATCGAGCTCGCATTCGCATCGTTCCTTTTTCTCTCGCTTGTTCACTATGAAGTTTTTCAACGCAGCCATACCGTAATTAATTTCCAGATAGCTTCTCGAACTTTGCATCTCAGCGTCTTTGTAAATTACCCTCGCGCGAAGATTTGCAGAATGGCGTTTGCTTGTATTTACTGGACGGAAATTGCATCCCTGCAATTTTGCTTCAACACATGCTCGTCGTTTTTCCGACCAACTATTTCAGGCTCACAACACTTCATCCGAATTACATCATTTGCGTAATAATCAATGAAGTTTCTTGTGCATTTTTTTAAAATAAGAATGACGATCCTCAGACGAGTGTTAGATGCGACGGTACAACCGAGCACAATACTGGTTTTATTTATGCATACCCTTAAGTTCCACGGGGTACTAAATTAACACACTGTGCAGTGTTCGCTCACAAAAAATACACTAGTTCGTGACCACAGCCGGGCCCACTGATCTCGGTCGCACGACTGCGTCACTCCCAGCCGGCCGAACTCTGCTCACCAGCCGCTGCCCCCCCCCCCCCCCCACGCGCAGGTCCGCCGCCGAAGCCGCAGCGAGCCGGCTACGCCCGCGGCACGCGCTCGCCAGGGTCGGCGCCGCGCACGCAGACTGGCGTGCCGCCGCGAGGCCCCGGCGGTCCGGCCGGCTTCGTCGCTGCCGACGACGAGTACGCCAGCTCGCCGGAGCGGGGCCGCGGCGCGCCGTACGCCTGCCGGGCCGGCCGCCTTCGACGACCACTACTACGGCCAGTTCCGGCCGCCGCCGCTGGCTGACGATGAAGCCAGGTGAGACCGGCGACTTCGTGGCGCCCTCGTGCCGCGCTCGTGGGCCCGCGTGGCCTCCCACGGAGCCGGCCTTGAGCGCCCCCGTGACTCCGTGCACAGCACGACGACCCGGTGACATGATTCAGAGTGAACTGCCACCAGCGATGACCGCGACATAGCTCTTGTAACCCATTTTTGCGAGCATATTGCTGTGTTCCGATGTAACCACATCGATGCTGCAAGCTTGTCCGCATAAATACGTTGATTACGTTTGGCGTGTGGCTACTGCGCAATCTGGCTGCTAGCCGCCCGTCAACTGCGTAGCCTGGGCAATGCGCAGTGTCTGTATCATTAGTGGCCGCCTGGAGCTTGTCCCAGTACTGTTGCCGACCCCGCATGCGTCGCGTTACAAAACCCGCAGCGGCGACCACAGTTATGAGATGTCTCCCATCCCGCAGTGGTGCACTCGCGACCCCGCAAGTGCCCTGCCTCAAAGTGTACATGCGGGTATGTTTTTTCGGAATTTCCCGCCGCAAGTGTCTGTGCCATGCCTGAGGCGTTCTCGAACAATCCTGAGAAGTTGTAACCACAAATCGTTGCCTGGCAACGCGCTCTGATCCAAAGTCGGCTGCCGACGCCCAAATCCTGGCCTGGCCCCTGAGGCCCAGACCTTGGCCTGGCTTCTGTCACCCAGAGCTTGGTCACGCTCCTGACGCCCAGAGCTTGGTCTCGCTCCTGACGCCCGGAGCTTGGTCTGATTCCTGTCTGGCTCGTGTAACCCAGGCCCCCTTTGGCCACCCGTTGCCCGCTCGCCAGTGGTGGGCACCGCTGTCGGCACCGCCACCCGAGGGTGCCGATCCTGACGCCTCACCACCGGACCGTCCTTGTCTCGCAGAAAAGCTGGATTCTTTGACGCTCCGGCAGCCAGGAGAGTGGAGCCGGGGCTCCGATACAACGAAAAGTAGGGGATCACAGAGACACCTCTGTCGCGCATGACTGTCAGACGTGTTGTTAGGCCGTGCCTTTTCTGCGTTCAGAGTGGCTCGCTGTGAGATAATCAAACACATTGGCCCTAACGAAAAATCATGTTAAGTTTAATGGGCGGAAAATTGCGAGGCATCACCAGATTCAGTTGGTGTCCTTCCTTTTTGAGCAGCTTTGCTTTGCGCAGTGATGCTTTTACGAGATGACTGCATTCAGCTGAAGGCGGAGTGCAAGAGCAGTGATAGCTGGGCTTTTTGCGCCTTGTTAGGGTTGACAAACGGCCACATGGGGCAATACCTTTCCATGCGTTCTAGGTAGAACAAGTGGAGGACATTTTTGGTGGCCTCAAAATGTGTCAGTCCACTCAACGCGTAAAGATGCGATCAACAAATTTTGTACATCAAAATTGTGTTTTCATAGTACGACATTGCATGATATTAGATGCGGAAATGTAGAAAGCATGGATTTAGGGCAGATGGGCCTCTTAAAGATTTCGTCATAATAGCAGGAGCATTTGCAACTGCCTAAAACAATGCCTCGAACTGTCCGTTACGTTGTCGGATGTGGTGGGTTTGTATTACGCACACAACACATGTCACGCATCCATGTGTCTATCAGCTTTCTTGTGCCAACGGCATGGCATGGATTTTTCCGAACATATCCTATGTTTTGTTCAGCGTTTGACACACATATTGGTTGTAGCCCGTACCAGACAGCCTTTACTGTTCAACAAAAAAGAACTGCTCTCTTTTCTGTTTCTTTTGCGCTTTTGTGGTCTCAAGAGTTCTCAATAACTTGCACTTTATGCAACACCGAGACCTGAAAATCTGACGCAGTGCCTGGTTTCTGTAGCGTGTTAGGTCTCCTAAGTCCTAGCACCTGATGTTGCTGGCAATCGTATTGTGGACACGCTGAGCCGACTTGGCCCATGTCAGGAAACGCTACTGTCGGCGACTTTTGCTCTGCGAGTTAGCAGTTCAATGAGACGCCTGAAGCATGCAAGCCATTATAGAGTACTATCGCATCGTTCGTGAAGGCTGTCCCTTGCCTTGTCCTGCTTGCACCATGTCCACGGCCTGGCCTTTTCACCACGCTCCTGGCATCATGACGGCAGTCATGAGCCCGGACCGGGACGTTTGGCCACCACGTGTGCCGCCTGCCACAGAGTGCGGGTTGAGTCCATGGAGCGCCAGCTGGCGAACCTGACCGGTATGGTGCAGAAGGCCCTGAGTGCCCCGCGGGTGGCGCGCGCCGCGTCCGACCTCGACTCGGGCTACCGCAGCGACCGCGAGCTCTACCATCGCGCCCCTAGCGGTGAGAGTGCGAAACACGGTATTGCGTCCGGCCGACCAGCTAACCCAGCCCAAACAAATAGCTGGCTAGTTAAGCGTAGTGTGTTCTGATCTGTTCTGCGTCCAGTTTCACCTGAATGTAGCCGAGAGTCCTTCCTAGTAATCCAATTGCCCATTCAGTGTGTTCTCACCGTCGTGTGTCGTGGAATGCGTCTGTCCGATTTGTGTGCACCGGTCTAGGAACTGGCGTGCACTGGCATCGGTTGGCTAACACGGTTAGGTACACGGTAATGCCATGGAATGCAAAAACTGACCATGCTTTACGATGCATAAGACGCCAGAAATCGCCACAGATGTCTACGTGTACGTTCTAATTGCCTCTGAACAGGAATTCAAGTACAATGAAAGCATCTAAATCGATGTTATCCGGCGTCTCGAGGCTGCTATTGCTTTAGCGCGCCTTCTCTTCAAAGGATAGGACTTCTCTGATGTCGGTAATGCAAACGAAAGTGGTGTCATTGGGGGCCAACGCGCCACTCCCATTCCCGGGAGTGTTTCCATTAAAACGGTTCAGCTGCCCGCTCTACACCATTTGAACAAACTTACCCATACACTGGGCTTTTCCGCAGAAAGCTTGGAAATGCTGTCGCAGTTTTGAAACCTGAAAACGCTAAATGACGAGGGTATGGTCCCCCCTTGTAACTGGAATGTTCCCTCTAGCTGCACTAATGCTGTATAAAGATATATGTAGTGAGTATTTAACGGCAATCGTGGCATCTGTTTACGCTGTCTTGAACACTCGATAGCGAACGTGGGTGAATGGTTGCAGTTACATTTTGTATCGTGAGCTATCTTCAAATTTATCATATGTGATGCAATAGAGGTGCCAAATTTGAAGGGCTCCTCTCATCTGGCACCGGTGACTCCAGTCATTCCTCAGGTCTCTGTAGCGGCGTTTTCCTCCTAGTGGTTGCCAATACGCGGTGGGCTTATGCCTGTCGGCACCTGTCTTATAAACATAAGCTGACGCTCATTGCCATTCTGAGGCTCATCTGGCGTTGAATCTAAACTGTGATGAAAAGACGCGCGGCAACAAGAGCGTGTACCGTCTGCAAAGAACAGACGTCACATCGCAGCAGAAACAATGATGCGAATCATACGTTAAGGGCGTTGGCAGCCTCATTTGTCGATAAATAACCCGCCACCAAACATTTTTTGAGCGGGGGGCTGAGTTGTAACATCTTCTGCACATTCAAGCCTCGGTACGTTTTTACGTACAGTGCCCCTTGTGAACGATAAGTTTCTGCTCCCCAAGTACGAGCACGCATCATGGTTCTTTTTCTTCTCCTTTTTGATCCAGCTAACAGCTAGCAATTTTGCCTTTCAGACAACTTCTTAAAACCAGACCGTCCCCCAAAGTTAGGACGGGGAAAAGGTATGCAAGTGAGCATGAGCGAGGTTTCGAAGCCTGGGTTGTTTCATGCACCACTGTTTGCACACTATTTATAGTCACTACTAGACTTTGAACTTGCTTTTGCAAGACTATCATGTTATGCAATAGTTGACGTCGACATGACAAGCGGGACATCAAATATTTTTTCTTAACGAGAAGGAATCAAACTAAAATTCAAATTTGTGTCATTATAACAGATCAGACCAAGCTTTTAATCCCACGCTTGCAGTGTGTGGGGCTCGGTTGGTGTGATCGCAATGAAGCAGGCGGAAGCCATTGACATGGCCCCCGAGCAGCAGTTTGTTCGAATCAAAAAAGGTGAATCTCGCCTTTTTCGGCGTAACAACTTAAACGGTGGCTGAACGGTGCTATGGGGAAATATGTGAATGGTGTCCTTTAAAGTCCTGCTTTATAACTATCAGAGCGTGTCATACTTATGGGACTCTTGATGTCATACAAATCTGCTTTAACGCACTTGAGTGGCTAAGCCATGTCTTCAGTTGATAATTCACGGTCTGAAAGAAATCATTTCTACGGTTTGAGACCAATGCCGTGGCATTGCCCATCTTCGAAGAAGTGGAGGAAGGAGAAGTATTCGTGCTTGCGAAATGCGCTACATATTTTCTAATGAAAACGTCAACTTCCTTCACCGCAGACTAGTTACTTCAGATCTGCTTGCTGCACGCTTGCTCTTCTCTTCGCACTTTCTTATTTCACTGTCATCAAATGACTAGCATGCATATCTCGCACGATGTGTTCTGCAATTCTCGATCATTGTCTAAATTCAGTCCATGAACACATCCCCTGACGCGCGTCAGAGGCGCCTGGACCACCGCACTATGGGGCACGGCGGCTGGTTTGCTAACTGAACACGCCTAGCCTCCTCAGATAGCTTTCTGGCCGGACCAGCACGCCGGGCCCGAACTGCTCGATTCGCGCTGTCACTGCACGCTAAACTGGCCACATGCACCTGCCGAAATGGCTATGCTTGACTCGACACCCCATGATTAACGAGCTCTGAAGAGAGTTGGAATAGGTAGACGAAGAGGATCTGTTCATCGTGTTTTGTTATATGGACATGCTGAAGGCTACGGCCGGTTTGGCACACGCGTCTTTGCTATCCGCTATAAAAAAATGTTTCGAATCCTCGGCATTGCCACCTTCTCATGATTGTTATTGTTACACACTGGATCTTGCCTTCTTTTCGCGACGAGGCGTTTTGCGAGCCATCGCTCTCCGAAACTTTATGGCTATCGGCTATGACATGGAATGCTGCATATGCATATATACAATATGCATATATATATATATATATATATATATATATATATATATATATCAACCTGCCGGCATGAGATGGTGCATTGGTAAGTGCTGTGGCGGGCGCTGCTCTCGCTGGCCGGGGTTTCGCCACATTGGTGAGTTGGTGCATCTGTTAGTGCTGTGGCGGGCGCTGCTTTCGCTGGCCGGAGTTTCGCCACATCGGTGAGATCAGAGCTGAAATCCTCGGGCGGTCTGGTCTCTGAGGTCCATTGCCTGCCGGCAGCGACCTTGTGATGCATGGAGTATGACTTCTGTCATCTCACGCGCAGTACGTGTAACAGGATAATATCACGGCATGTATAAATTCACGCTAAACTCTTTTACCAGAGGTCAGTTCGTGCCTCATACAACTCCTCATGATGGGAGCTGAGTAAACGTGTGGTTTGTGTCCTTCCCCTCCCCAACCCACTCCCACCGCACGCTGACAGGGAGTATGTACGGTTTCAGACAAATCCGTTTCCTTCGAGAAGTCAGTCAGTTTCAGCGACGATCCACACGGCCCCAACAAACAGCACTCGCCGACCCACGCCGGTAAGTCGCACCACTCACCGACCCACGCCGGTAAGTCGCACCACTCGCCGACCCACGCCGGTAAGTCACAACACTCACCGACCCACACCAGTAAGTCGCACCACTCGCCGACCCACGCCGGTAAGTCGCACCACTTACCGACCCACACTGGTAGGTTGCACCATTCACGGACCCACACCGGTAAACCTCAGCACTCACCGACTCAACCTAGTAAGTCCAAGGACTCGTCGACTTGCCCTGGTGGGTTATAGCACTCGTGGACTCACCCTGGTAAGTTCTAGCGCTCACCAACTTACCTTGGTAAGTTTTGGCCAGCGACAGACGACCCAACTATGCGCGCCTTGAAGGCCCACTCGGCAAGCTCACTATGTGCAGAGCTTGCTCTGGACTTCACTTCTTTGGAGGGTCGGTCGTATGTGTTCTTCTAGAACTGAGTAAATTGTGTGAACATGTCAGATATCGTGCATACATTCATATAGCATGACGAACAACATGCGGGGGCCACAAAAGGACATTCCAGCTTACCACACACTAGACCTGGCAAACTTGCGGGGCTTCAACAAGTTTGTCACAACTTTACAGAGGGCAGTGCCGCTGGCATAGCTTTTGCTTCAAGTGGTCGAAACCTCTGCACTTTGCCTATGAACATTGCATGAATGTGCTCGAAAATTTGTGTTATAAGTGGATATGTCTAGCATCACAATAAAAATACCAGCAATGGTTTGCTTCCAATAAAATTACATAGGACTTGAGTTTTTGAGGCTTTAGGGCCTCGTTAGATCTCGCAAGATGTATTTGTATGTACTCCTGTCCCGCATAGTGTGTTACTCATTTCATATCGTGTCTACTGGTTCTCGATTGCTAACAAACAGAGCTAGATGCCCTTGGCTAAATCACTTAGCACGTCTGGCACTATGGCAACAAAATTATCGCCCGCATGCATCCTACATCATCGAGCATTATCCGCACGCATCCATCATCCTCCTGCATCATCGAGTGGAGGCCTATCTGCATCCGCTCACCCCCAAGCGGGCACGCAGTGGCAGGGTTGCTGATTTGCCCTCTGGTCACACCCCGTAGCCTGGGATCGTCAGCTTGTCCGTCTAACTTACCGACTGATGCCGGTGTACTGTCACCCAATGGCGCACCATGAGCGACGTCTAACGACTAACGGGTGGTTGGCTCGCTTTCAGCCGACAAAGTTCCAGTGAAGCCTGCTATCAAATCATCCACGCTTCCTCGCATGTCTTCGCAAGGTACTAACCAATAACCCGCGTGGGGACAGAAGCGGGGGAGGGCGTGTCCCTTTGTGGTCTAAGTGGATGAGAGTTGGTGAACAACTGTTCAGTTCATTTATAGGTTACGACGGATAAGTCCTGTGTGCGTGGTGAGAGTGCTGCGGGGAAAGCCTTAAACAAAAGTGTGTTACGATGAGTGATCATGGCAAGCACCGGGAAACATCCCCTTCTCCCGACGTGAAATATTTTACATGTATGTATATACCAATGTATACCAATATATATATATATGTTAAACTGTGAACATTTATGTGCTTCACTGTCATGCAAGAAATTTGGTACGCGTGCGTGGCCAAATGTAAGGTACATATACACATAGCTAAGGTAAACTCCGGCTTGAAATATCCTGAATACGACCCTGGCCATGATAGGCTTTTTACGCTTAGTACAAATCAAATTGAGCTATGCCCAACAGACTACCATCCAGGTTCCCTGCACGTTTGAGCTGAGTAGCCGCTAATCTAGCATTTCAGGAATCCAAAGCATTCCATGGTGTTCCAGGAATCGCATAGCGGATGTGATACTCGCGGTGTGACTTTGTGTCGGCGAAGTAGCTGACTTTTCCCGCTGGCATCAAAACAGTTCATGAGTGTGTTCTGTCCAGACGTCCCTTATATATTCACTTCTGTCCTAAAGGGTCCTCACATTTACACCCGGCTTGGCAACGCCGATGACTTTCTCCCATATCGCGTGGTTAATATTCGGTCGTGTTTTTTTGCGTGCGTGTTTTCAATGCCAACTTTCCGATGTCAGCTGTCGTCACGTGCAAGTCGCCTACTGACCTTGTGTCGCTGTACGTCTGCCCGCCCCTGCCGACGACCCGCCCTCTGCCGGTGACCCGGACCGGTCCCGCTTTCGGCCGCGCCATTGCTGACCTGACCCGTCCGTTCCCAGAGAGAGTGAAGCCGCCGCCGCCGCCCAAGCCGGTCATACTGACCAGCAGCCATGACGGCAGACATAGCATTTACCGAGGTAGTGGTACCTGTCCAGTTCCACAGCGCTGCATGAGCCGGCTGCTCCCCTGGCGCCGGAGGCTGCTGCGGTGACCCGGCGGCCGTGTGGCGGGGGCGGGGAGTGAGCACGTGTGTTACGCTCGCGTAGTGTGGAGTTGCACTCTGAGTCCCGCAGGCACGGCGCTGGCGCCCGCTGCTTCTTCATGTGTTCGTGTGATGTTGTGGCTAATGCAAGACGCCTGACAGTCTGTGCCACGCATGCCTGGCACCCGGCGCAACGATGCATGTTATGTTTGCAGCGGTTGTTTATCCTGTTTGCCTGAGTTGGGCTTGACGTTTTGATGAAGCGCGGTGGCATGTCTCGATTCGTTTTGTCCGGATATCTGTGTGTGAATTTTGGTGAATATCCAGGATATATCATCGTTAATCGGCCACTGCTTGGCATTAGCACGATCAACATACTGCATTATTAATGATGAATTTACTCCCATTTACTATAATGCTATGAATGTCCTTATTTCATGCCCGAGAAGCATGGCATGTTAGTGAGGCAGTGTATGGTATGAACCTACTGAGACCGACAGGAAATTATGTGTGCGTGGTTAAGAGGGAGTACCCATCATCATACAAGTTTACCCCATGTGCTCTGGTTTATGCGCTAGATATATACTTGTGATGGTCGAGCACTTTCTTCCATTACATCGCTGACCCCGATTTGATTGATTCCGGAGCCGGGGTCACGCCCCAAGTCCACCCAGTAAAGAGCAGGATTTGACAGCTACAGCGTGTACTTCTGCGTGCGTCTTGAAAAAGAGAAGGTTTATGAACGAGGGATGTTTCGTTTTTGCCGGTGGCGTCAGTGAACGAGTTGAGACAGCACTGGATTAGAACTACGAAAGTTGACATGTTGCGTCTCGATTTATTAAGGAGGGCAGTCTCATTTCGTTTGATATCAGGTTTTTAACCAGAGATCTGTCTGGCGAGAGATGTGATATAGCATTTCCAGCACATTACGACCTTGCATTGAAACCGGACAATTTCCTTAGTTCCAAAGTTTACAATGACTTCCTGTCGTTTAGTGCCACCGCATGCGCGCCTGGCTCTAGATCTGACCTTTACACTGCCTGCCGCCGGACCCTGTATGACCCCCGCCACGTGCCTCCAGACCTGCACCTCTCGCCGGAGACCTACAACCAGCTGCGGAGTCTGCAGAAGAAGGCGCGGGACCTGCGACAGGAGATGAGGAAGCTGCGCAGGCTCTCGCAGGAGCACTCACTGGCGGTCAAGGAGATGATTGGCGACACCTACTCCAAAATACGGTGCGTCGGAGCTCGCGCGCAACGTTCTGTTGCTTTTCAGTATTCTAATATTCGGGTAATTATAATCGAATGTTCGGTTCAAGTTTTCGATTTTTTTGCACGGGTTTTCAAAAACGTTTACGTGGATGTACGGTGGACGACACATGCTGGCACGGATTTTAAACCGCGTTGCTACTGTTTTGGGCTGTCTTGTGAAAAAGAACGATTATGGAAAAGGTCGGTGCGAGAAGTTCATAACTTTCTTTGCGTGCAAATTAGGCATCGGAAATCACTGAGGCTAACGCATGTTGAGCTTGTTAGTATCTGTGTATGAAATTCCGGCGTTACTTCCTGGACCTCGTGGAATATTTTGCAATAACAGGTACTTTGGAATCAACGTCGCAATACTATTGCCAAGCGTTCTTTTTTAGCACGACCCTCGCTGGAGTCCGGTACACCAATAGGCAATGGCGTAACAGCTTTGCGAGTTGGCTGCTCACGGGACTTCCTTGACTCGGACTCGGCGCAAGTGAACCATAAATCTCGATCTTATAGACGGATCCAGTAGAGCGAGGGCTACAGGTTGCATTGGGACCTACATGGGATCTCGCAATGGGAGAAAAATTGTGTCCCCCACACAATTTTATTAATTTATCATGTTTGATCGGTGGTCATTTGTCCTGTAAAACAGCTTGAATGTGCTCCAGGCAGGCGAACAGAAGCAAACGACATGCTTTTCCAGCATGCATTGTCTTTTAAATAGCATTCGACGCGAATAATTTTTGGCGTGGCTTATCAGAGCTTGTAGTCTTGCCATCCTGGGTGGGACGCTGTGAGGTCAGCCCCTCCCCCCCCCCTCCTCCTCCCCCTCACCTTAGAAAAGTTCTGGACAAAGCAATTGCTACATAGTCCAAATGTGATGACGAGTGTTTTTGTAACTACATGTGAGCCGTTTTGGTAGGCATTCAAACGCCTCTCCAAACACTTAAAAATACTCAAGTTGCTGTTTGAATATTTTCAGCATTCCAATATTTGAATTCATCGGATCAGCTGTGGTGGGTACCCGCCGCGGGGCCGACACTCGCGCGCGTCCGGCGCGGAGACCGGCGCACGTGACTCCGCCGGCGACAGCCACGTACCGATATATGTCGTCCATATCATAGCCCATCTTGTCGTTATCCAGCATTTTTTACATTCGTGATGACGCTACAGGTAAACTGTGACAAGGGTGCCTCCAAAGAGGGCTGAGGCGGAGGGTCAGCCCCTGAACTTAGGCCCACACTTTCTGTTTTTCGTCACAGATGGCTACCGACAAAGGATTAAAAATCGGTGTGATGTATTCTCGCCGACCTTCCTCGCCCCCTCCCCCCCCCCTCCCTGCCCATTAAGAAAATCTTAGCTGACTTCTGCACTGTGAGCATATGTGATATCCGGCACACTAGGAGATATTGGTGAGCAGGCAAGACCTAAAATGACCTTAGCATGTGACACTTATGTGGCACATGACGGGTGGGAAGTGCTGGTGTAGTGGTCGGCGCGCTCGGCTCTCGGCCTGGCGGTCTGGGGTTCGAACCCAGGCCAGCCCCTGCCGCATTTGATATGGCACTTAATGAAGGACATCCCGTACTTAAATGCCCATCGTAGCCGTGCGGCTTGAAGCCTCTATCATTATTTAACGAAGTATGCATGAGATATTGATAAAACGTGTGATTATTCATAAGGTTCGACTTGTTATGAGACCATGGTCAAGAGTGTCAAAATACCAGGAGCTTAATATCCTTTCTCACTGCGCTGACGTATCTCGATAGATAAAGGACGGCGTTGCAGTGTATTAAGTCGGGCGTTTTTTAAGCAGCCGGAGTTTGCATTACCCGGCTTGCGAATATCACAACGACGGTCTGGAGTCCGGAGTCCGATCTCGGGAGTCCGAAGTCCGGAGTCCAATCCCACTGCCACTGTCCGATCCCCAGAGGACACCTGTTGTCGGGAAGCGATCTGAAATTGGGGGAGGCCGACTCGGAGACTCTGAAGATCAGAACAGAGGAGGAGGCGTACCGTGAGGTCATCCAAAACATCGAAAAGGACTTGAGGTGAGATGCGGTCCGGCCAACTCCCGGATACGCCTCTGGCTCATCGAATAGGCTTTTATTTCTCAGACTGACTATCGTCTTCGTTGCCGTTGTGTCTGCTTCATTGCAGCCGTATTTTACGTTTTCTGTTGAGACCTTTCACATGGTGTCACATCTATAGACACAGTTGCGGCGACAAAAGGTTGCCATAAGTTAATGCGGACCCCTCTGTTAGCGACTATTTATACATAACCACCCACCGACAAGGCCTGCATCCGCGATCCATGATGTGCGTATCCCGACCGATGTACCACAAGTGAGCCGCCTCTCAACGCGTGGAACCACCAGCCCGTGGTGTCAGGCGATCACGCGGTGCCCCGTCCCACCCCAGTGAGGTGGAGCACCACGTAGAGGACCTTCGGAGCAACGTCATCAACCGACAGAGACGGGTCAACCTCAACGACGTGGAGGGGATGGCTCTGGTCCTGAGCAAGTCCAGGTGGGAAACGCCCCGACAGCTGGCGGGGAGTAGTGGAAACGTGACGTAACTGACGACCCCCGCGAAGCCAGCGCGCGGCGTTCTGAGGCTGAGAGAAGCGGGGAAGGAGTAGACATGGGGTTCGCCTGGAAGGCTTACGTCGTTGTCATTGGAACTTACGGCGCACTCCGCAGGTATGGGGCATTGTTTGCCTCTCACTCCGGCAGAAAGGGTGGACATCGCTGGGAATCGAACCTCGTACTTCAGGTTTTCTAGACGCTCAGCGGAAACGTCCACGCTGCCCTCCGCCCAGACTGCCCCAAGTTGATAGGGAACTCTCACCACCGCTGTTGTCTACACCATGTTTGTTGGTGTTCGTCGTTCTGACAGCCCATCACCACGACCAGACCCCTGAACGGTCTGCCCCGGAAGCTGCAGAGGTGAAGAGGTAAGGTTTTCTCGTCAAAGTGACGACTGAAATAATGAATTCTAACAGCTCATCACCACGACCAGACCCCTGAGCGGTCTGCCCGGAAGCTGCAGAGGCGAAGAGGTAAGGCTTTTCGTCAAAGTGACGACTGAAATAACGACGAACATAACCTTTACGAGCTTCAGCATCAGCGGCGCGCCACTGCGACCAATGTTTGGTGACGGCCGTCCCGTCAACGACGGTGACGACGATTACTTTCGTGGTTCTAGCAAGACGGTGTCGGACCTGCAGAAACGTTTTCCGGAGCTGGAGCGGAGCATCCGCGGTCTGATAGCCGTCGAGAGGGAGCGGGTGTGCCGCGAGGAAAGGTGGGTGGCGTCCGCCCGGCCGGGGTGGCCCGAGATCCGACCCGCCGGACGCCGGTCCAAACCGATCAACGGCAGCACAGGGAAACAGCCCGAAATTTGAGTGGGCTATAAAGTGTAGTCCATCGAATTTCCCTTCATTTTTCGATTGTGTTTTGGGAGCCCTATATTAAGTCAGTTGGGCGTGATATGCATATTACGCTCACAAATAGCCGGGGTTTTTATAAGATTTAAACGTAATATAATTGTAACTAGCTGAATATGCCAATTACACTTTTCTACCCTATAACCCTGCGAGAATGCGTCGGTGTTGAAAATTCGTTTACAACATGTTCCTTTTTCTTTGAGGTTTTCAACGTCTCGCTTAAAGTGCGCAAAGATGGCTGCAAAGCTGCAACAACTTGTGGTCCTTGACATCATCACCTTTTCAGCTTCCTGGGGGAGGAGCCTCAACGATTAGAAAATGCTCTGCAGCGAATAAAGAAGCTGTCAGGCACACTAGTCACACTGAAAAGGTATGTGCAATGCCCACAATTCGTTCACGGTTTGCCTTTTCCTGACGCCTAGTCAAGCAAAAATGTTCTATCGACTCTGGAAAGCTCTGGCATCGTGCTCGAGTGACGTCACCAACACCCACTTGCCGCGCTCCAGATTGGCCTCAGTGCAAGAGCAGCGGGTACCGGAGCCGGAGGACAGCTCCTCAGCTGTCACCAAGCCGCCCGATGCCGGAGCTAAGGTCAGCACAGGGCGGCTGCCATGTCAAGCGAGGGGGTGCAGCCTTGACCTTTTGACCTTTTGTCTCTAACACCATCAGCATATGGTGCAGCCAGTTATGTTGTGTCGAGTTGGTCGTGACGTTTATAGCTTGGCACCGACTGTGCTCACTTCTTGCTGAGAAGCACCTGTCGTAGCGATATCGCCGTCTAAGTTACATTCATGGTCGGTTTCGACAGGCTGCGGTGTTCTGGCCCGTCTGTGCATTATGTATACACATCACAAGCTTCCACCCTCACGCTCTGGCTCATTTTCCGACTGCTTGTTCTGCTTGGCACAACGAACGAGACACAAGGCTTACTACACTTCTCTCTTCATGGTCTCAAACCGGCGAGCGTGGTAGCCGCCAGCTGTCAGCATTTTTGGCGGTTTCACAGAAGAAAGGGCCTGAATGGAACAGTTCCTCCGCTTACTCCAGGCGCGCATGGGTTTTGTACTTCTGAGAAGCTTGTACACCTACAGGGCTGCTTCATTCATAAACCTATTCCGCATGCCGCACATATGTCGCCTCTCTGGCAAGAAAAGTGTTCGGCTGGTTACCAATGGAATTCGCTCGGCAAAACATGTTCTAATGAACACTTCCTTATCATTCGGCTGTCTGGTTTGGCGGCGTTTATAGTCCTTCCATAACATCTGAATGCGTAATTAGTTCTCTGTCGCTATCCTCGCGCCTGTTTCGCTGCTGTCGCTCGTGACTGTCCACTGCTCTCCACCCTTTCTGTATCTGTATTCCTCTGTTGATCTGTCCCCCTCGCATGCCTTACATGTACATATACATATACGACGGGCAGGCCTGCTTCCTGCAGCGTTTTGACTCTTTGTGTGAGTATTTTTGACCGATAGTTAACGGCAGCCTTTTCCGTATTGTAGAGACCGAAGCATCAGTGGCGGCAGAGTTCTCTGTTCAAGGAGCGAATCGCCGGCAACGAGTAAATCTGCCTGTCCGCTGTCGGTGTACCCCTGACCTGTAGATCGCCTCGGCCCCCGCCGCCGTGTCGTAGTGCGGGGGAGAGGCATCCTCGCAGACCCGCGTGCGCTGCGCAGGCCGGCGGCGACGGCTCCACCGGCGAGCTGCCGTCGTCTGCCCACCACTCTCTGGCGCTAGCTGTGTGTGCCCTCCCTCAGCGGCTGCTGCGCCGCTGGCTCGGTGTAGGCTCTGCCCGCTCGTCGGCCTGCTCTCTGGGGATGGCTGAGCTTGTGTCGCGATTCCCTTCCCATCGGGTCCTCGCGCTGATTTCTGCGCAGTAGCAAAGCCAGGCTTGCGTCCGCACCTTTTCAGATTTCAGCTTGTGGTTCCCCTGATGTACTTGTTGCGGTTGGTACTAAATAATGAACGGGCGGTGCGGCTGGTTGGGGTTTTCCTCCATATCGCATTGTCACGTTTTAACTGATTTGATGGAGCTATCTTTTACCCGATCGCCCACACGTGTATCACCTTTATGCGCTTCAAACCGTTCTGAAATAGAGTAGGCCAAGATATGACAGGTAAATGCCGACTCCACTCACATTCGCATGGTAATCGGCGGTGCATTCAAAATGCAACGCATTTGCAACGTGACACGGAGCCCCAAGGCGTGAGTTGCGATTGACACGAGCTGACCTCGCCGGTGACCCCTTGTCACCGCGGTCGGTCACCACCCCTGGGGTCGTCCGTGTGCATGCCTCTTCCGAAGACTCTTTCTTATTCGCCTGTTCCCTCCGTGCGTTTGCCTATCCCCGCCATGCGTTTGCCTGAAAGCTCGTTTCATTTCTACCTAAAATGTATGTGGACTATTACGCACCTTTGAGAGTCCATGCTGAAGGCAGCCAACTTGCATCTCAGTGAATATCCTTCATGCATATAGGCTTGTCTAGGTGTTACTGTGATTTCTAAAGTGTTGAGGTTGTTTACTTTTACCTTAGTGAATTTTGGAGGACTTTACTTCGGCGAAACGCTTTGCGTTGCCAATTGTACCAGGTCCTTACAGACCGCGCTGGCGAACTGAGTATCACAGCCTTTTAAAGGGGAAATTCTACACGAAACATTTATGGATATGCGGGAATATCTTAGAATATGCATTACATCTTATCGAAATTCATAACTTTGCGACACAGCATACTGGTAACATTAAAGGCACGTACACCAGCAAAATGAAGGTGCGACAGTGGACCGACAGTGGACATTGTGGCGCATTGAGCCTTCGCCCCCAAATCATGCCGTTGACCTGAAATTTTACGATCGGGTGGAAGGGCTCAAAGCTTACGCAAAAGCACTGCTTAGCGTTGGCTCTGATCTCAGAAATCCATTCACTCAAAGGTTTGGACTAAATGTGTATAGTGACGATTGCATGCTTTGTGTCCTCATAGTAGTTTAAACCACGAGTTTTCAAACCAAATATTTCAAACGGAATAAACACGTGGTCAACTCGCCATTGTTCGTATGAATTCGCCATCACTCGTAACATTCCTGTTATAATTCTACCGTAAAAATTGTTGCATTGCACTAAACTTCATCAGTTTTGGCCTTGGGCAGGTGCAGTCGTATGCAACTACACATGCACCTGCGTGCAAACGTCTGCCACGAAACTGTGTACGAAACGCAAGGTTTGCAAATAAAGGGACCTACAATGAAGCCTTGAAATTGCAATTCTGAACACAGGGCCCTCGTGTTGGTCGGTGTGCCCTTCTCCTGGACTATTGACACGTCTGTGATGGCTGAAAACGTTATTAGCCTCCCATACAGCTCTCTTTACTCATAAGGATAGTCCATAAACTACATCACGCCTTTCTCAATTTGTCAGTCTCCCTCTCCTGGTTACAAACTGGTTGCGCCTGGCGAAGTTCTTCTCTCCTGATTACGCTGTGTTCAGCGTAACATCTCAAAAAAGCGTCGGCTTGACTCCCGATTGAACACGGGATACGAAAAATAGCGGCGTGGTGCTCGTGATGAGAGGAAGACGACGGAATGTAGTTGTTAGTTTAATGATGTTTGTAATATTCTGGCATGGTTTTCAGTCACACCAAAGCGTAATTTTGTCTTGCCCCCCCCCCCCCTGTTTCACTTTGTTTACGCTATATAAAAACCTTCTCCCCGTTCATACGTAACGTAATTTATGGATGGCCCCACGCGGCTCACTTTGAATAATCTCGCTTATTACCGTTGCGTGCTAAACATGACCAATGCGCTTGTGTTAATCACTCAACGCCGTCCTGTTGTTTGTAATAAGGATAATTGAGTCGTTTTCGGCGATTGCTCCATATTTCAGTCGCTTTCGGCCATTGCTCCAGTGGGACTGTGATCCGTTCAGCCTTTTGTTTAGTTCGCATTTCCGTTCGCATGTGGCATCGGCGGTGGTGTACCGTCCTTGGCGGCGAGTCGAGTCATGACGGCCACCCCGTTCTGTCCGTGACACGCTGGACGCTGTTGCAGCCGGCGGCCGGCGCCGCCGCCGCGGGCGACCAGCCTGCCGCCGCCACGGGAGAGGCTGCCGCCGCCTCCGCGCCCGGAAACCCGCTCGATGCTCTTCTAAGCGAGCTGCAGACGTTCAGCCCAGAGCGTCGGCCGGCGGTGCGGCCGGCAGCGCGCGTCGTCCCGATGCCGGGCCGCCTCTCGCCGACGCCGGAGGAGCCGGCTGGGCGGCCGGCGCCGCCGCCGCCGCCGCCGCGCACCTCCTCCAAGTCGCCGCTCATCTCCCCCAGCTCGCCGCTGAGTCCGCACTACCCGGCAGCGCAGCGCGCCAAGCTCTCGCTGCCGGCCAGCGGCGGCGGCGACGGCGGCGACGGCGGCCGGCGGCCGGCGCCGCTCACGCGCACCAACTCGGAGCCCGGCGCGGCCGCCATGGCCTCGACGCTGGCGCTGAGCGATGAGAATCTGCGCCGCGACACGGCCTCCTCCAACTCGAGCAGCAGCGAGAGTGTCAACTCGCAGGAGGGCCTGCGCCGCTCGGCGACGCCGGGCGAGCGGCCGGCGTCGGCAGACCGGGGCGGCGTCCTATCGCGCTCCCGCCAGGAGGCGCTCGAGCGGCGCGAGACCGAGCTGCGTCGCAAGCAGCACGCGCTACAGCAGCAGTACGCTCGCCTGCAGGCCATGAACACGGCGCCGCGACCGCAGGCCGACATCAAGAAGACGGGCAGCGATGGTGACCTGGCGGCCAAGATGGGCGGCCTGAGCCTGGCGCCGGTCACCTCCGGGTCGGTGACCGATGTGTCGGGCCAGGCCGGCCAGCAGGACGTCTGAAGATGGCGCTAGTCTCTCGCTGGCCGGCTGCCGTCGGCTGCGGCAGGCATGGACACCAGGCCGTGGCGCATCCGGCCGAACCTGCTGGAAGCTGTGAAGCGGCGGCCATGTTGTCGGCCTTGCTGGTGGCGGTGCTCGCTGTCACACACCACTGGCTGCTGTGGTCGGCTGGACTTGTATTTGTGAATACTCTTGCGGTCAGCGGGTTTGCTGGACTGATAATAACCACACCGGCAGTGGGTGCCGATCGAGGCGCCGCTGCATGCAGCTGCCGGTCGAGGGCGATGACGGATTCTGCGGCGTGAGGCACCGCGGGGTCCGGGCGGGTCGCGGTGTGGCGCGCGCATGCGCACGGGGCGACCAATGGCGTTTGAAGCAGTGGTTGGTTTTTGCACGGGCGGGTTCCGTGACCACACGCGATTGCAGGGCACCTGCCGTGCGGTCCGTAGGCCCTTTGCTCAACGATTGTCTGTGCCATATCTGAGACCGTTATCCGCGCGGGACATTGTGCGTTGTTAGATACCAATTGGAATGAGACGAGCATGCGGGCGGGCAGAAGCTCGACAGCGAGGAGGAGACGACCTGGAAATTCGACATCGATACACTCGTGTTAACCTCGACGGGGATCGCGGGTCCGGGGGCACGACATAAGGACGTCACTGGGATTGGAAGCGCACGGAAGACAGATCATTGGAGCGGATCAGCGCCGAGAACCGCCGCACGCGGTCGGCTGACTTTAGTACGTAGCTCATACAATGAAGGCCGTGCACCCTCGCCGTTTGATTGGTAGGAGCGGGTGACGATCCGTTGACGTGAGACTGTCGCAGCTTTCCTAACCAGTGCCAACTCATGCTTGTCTGCTCAGCCCCTAACCGGCACGCTCCTTAGTCTAGCCCCTACCCCAGCCCCGGCCATTCGCCCACCTGCTCACTCGTGACCCCATGGTGTGTGTTCGTGTGTGCGCTTGCGTGGCGTCAGGTCAAGCATGATGATGACTCCGCTACCCTGTGATGACTCCGCTCGCCGAGCCGAAGCGGCGGCCCGCGAACTGGCCGGCGGGCGCCAACGCTGTTCTCTTGGAGGATGCCAGCCTCGCCCGGCGCGGCCTGGTGGCGTGACTGTGCGTACTGTTGTTTGTTTTGTTTACCGTGCGTCTGCGATCTATGTTGAGGGAGGACGTAGCGATGAGTGGAGGTGGGGTGGGGGAGGGGGGGGGGGGGCGAACTGAAGTTTCTATGAGGCGCAATAAACCCACGGCCGCCACGTAGTCTGCGCACGACTCAAGTGGTCAGCCGACTCGAAGATGAAGCTGAGTGATAACAGTGGCATTCATATGTGAAATGCCAGAGCTCTGTAGGAAGTCTTTTTTTGTTTTTTTCTGTAGACAAACTTTTTTTTGCGCTGAAGCAGTAACGCCAGAAACCCAGGCTGCTATTCTGATGCATGCAAATTAAAAGGAAATGGTATTAGTGATGCTGGGAGTGACCACAATTGGACCAATAAATTCAGTGAGTTATTGGTGATTCAGCTGCAACTTGGTCCAAGTTCAAACATCTATGCCAAGCACGAAGCAGTACTTCAGAGCAGCGCACTTGTACGTCTCTAACCAGTCACGTAACTCGCTAGGAAAAGCCAATATCGTACAACTGACGGAGCCAAAACTGCTTTTTCACGCGACTTTTCTGTTTTGTAGAGTTGAGTCTAACATGAACCGTGTTCATGTGTCTCCAAATCCGCAGCCAAATGTCAAATCAAACGTGCAAAAAAGCACCCACGGAGTAGGCGTAGTTGCAGCCTGCGTCCCAAATCCGACCCTAGCATCACACGGCTACAGACGTATTTCCCGGCTGGGGATCTCTGGCCAGCGTCGAGCGAGCCGCGGCTGTCGCCTGCTGTGTGCTGGCCGGTCAGGCGCCATGTTCCGGTCAGTGGAGCGGCCAGAGCTGCCGCGCGAGCGGCCCGGCTCGCAGTCCTCGGGCGAGTACGAGAGCTCCGAAGAAGAGAAGCCGTACAACATGAAGCCCAGCTACTCGGACCCGCTGCTGGACATACTCAGCCTGCGTCTCTTCTGCCAGACTGACGCAGAGTCGGGCCGTACGTCGATCCGCCTATGCGGCAACGAGCTGTCGCAACCGCGGCGCGGCTGCTACTTCGACCGCGAGGCGGCAGCACTGGCGGGCCAGCTGGCCTCGCGCCACGACATCACCGACGTCGACTTCAGCTACAACCGGATCAGCGACGCCGGCGCCGCGTCGCTGGCCGCTTACGTGCGCCGCGGCTGGCGCGTGGAGCAGCTCAACCTGATGAACAACGAGGTGGGTCCGGCGGGCGCGCTGCACCTGAGCACGGCGCTGGCCGCCGCCGGCGCGTACCTCACCGGCCTCCGGCTCAACGGCAACGCGCTCGGCGCCGAGGGCGGCCGCCACCTGGCCTGGCTGTTGAGCCAGCCGCAGTGCGCGCTGCAGGAGCTCGACCTGGGCCAGACGGGCCAGACGGTGGCCAGTCTGACGGCGCTGCTGACCGCGCTCCGCACCAACAGCTCGCTGCTGCAGCTGGTGCTGGACCGGCCGCTGCTGGCCGACGGCTGCGACGACGCAGCCGCGCAGCTGGGTCGCGCGCTGCGTGTCAACGGCGTCCTCCAGCGGCTCAGCGTGCGCAAGTTCGGCCTCACCGACGACCAGATGCGGCTTGTGTGCGACGGGCTGGCCGGCAACGGCGCGCTGACGCACCTCGACCTGACGGCCAATCGGCTGCACCGGGACGCGGCGCGCCACCTGGTGTCGGCGCTGGCCGAGAACAGCTCGCTGCGCGTACTGCGGCTCTGCCACAACCACGTGCAGACCGAGGGCGCCATCTGGCTGGCGCAGGGGCTGGCCGAGCACGGCGCCAGGGAGGAGGTGCACGTGCGCTCCAACGATATCGGCTCCGACGGACTGCTGGCGCTGCTCAACGAACTCAAGTACGCGCGCGTGCGCCTGCTCCACTTCTGGGGCAACCCGTGGTGCCTGCGCGTGCCGGCCGAGGTGGACGTGCTGTGGAAGACGGGCGTGGTGGACGAGACGCGCGTGGACGTGCGCCCGTACGTGGTCGACTACGTGCCCCACCTCGCGGAGCTGCGGCAGACGGAGCGGCAGCGCTACTACAACGTCACCAAGTACGCCGACCGCACCAACGACAAGGTCCGCATCGGCTTCCCCGTGTAAGGGCGGCCGCGTCCGGGTGAGAGGCGGACTGACGCCGACCAGCGTCGGAGACCGGAGACGATAGCCGACGTTCCGGCGGGGGGCAGACGGAGATGAAATATCGGCGGCGCTTTCTAGCTTGCTCTGGAAATGACCATTTGCTAGCCCGTTTTGCAGTGTCTGCCCCAGCATACGGTTAGTGCCCATGGCGTCCGCTGTTTGCCTGGCGCGTGAAACATCGCCGATCAATACACAAAAAAAGATAAGAAAAACACAACTGAACAGTGCCGCTACAGGCTATATGGCATTCTTATCTTGATTTAACATCGCAATCTATCGCACCGCTCGTCGCGGAGGACGAAGAGGCCGTTCACCAGAATCCACACTTAGAACCAGGACTTTCCGCAAAAGGCTGTCCACCACGCACCACCAGCGAAGCAAACCCAGCTCCAGACCGTGTTCCCCAAGACCTGGCGACCACCACCACAGGATTCAAGGTACAGACAAAGAGGGTGAATTGCCCACACAGGCAGACCACACGAAAATACTTCGGAAACCGTAGAACTATATTTTCACATCTTCATTTCAGTTATATATTACTTGAAAGCTCCTCTGGTTGAGCAACACATTAACTGGCACTAAGTACGGAGACATTAACGGCAGGACAGGACAGCCGATCAATGGTCAGTATTCCCAATATAAATAACAGCACTCCCGGAGTAAAGTTCATCTCTGTGATACAACCAGTGTCATCAATGCGTCGTCTACGAGAAGACTGGTGGGATGGCAATAATCGCCTCCTGATATCAGACACGCGAGAGCCCAGTGCATGGGGTACTACGGTTACAGTCCGGGAGCGCCACAAGGCAACCGGGAGTCGCTCTTCGCGTTGAACCCCGGCACATCAGTTACGTTGGGACCTGTGGGCACAGCGCCCTCCGGGAGCGTCCAGGGCCGAGCCCACTGGGGGCCGATCACATTACAGCAGGCAGTCTGCCGACCCTGCCGGCCGGCCCGACCGAAGCTGAAGCACAGCTCGGCAGCTGTCGAAGCTGCCGAGCTGTCACTGCCACATCCAATCAACGCCGAGTCGTGTCGAGGCGTGGCTTCCAGAGCACTGCCTCCTGCTCGGGGGATATATACCACTGAGAGGTGCCCGACCCCAGTACAGATAATGACCGCCCGCGGCTGTAAGCATGCACGACGGTAACGTACCCTGTTAAACCGTAAACACCGTCACCGCCGTCCGTCTGGATTACTTTGATGTAACATCCAAATAATAATTATTGTCCTACATCACTACCGAGGGCAGGCACTAAATACGCGCCATGATAAAGCTGCCTCACAAAACCAAACCGACGCGTCTTGCCTTCCGCTCTCCAATGACCCTACTTCTGTGTATTCATCGGCCGACGGCCAGCCTGCCGCACCGGCCTGCCACCTAGCGGGCATCACCGGCGACGCGGCGGGGCGGGCGGCGGGGGCGGCGGCGGTGGCGGCCGCGCCGGCGGGTCGGCCGGCTCGGCGCCGTCCAGGCCGGGCCGCACGACGGTGGCCAGCCGCGGCAGCGCCTCCTCCAGGCAGCCGGCCTGCGCCGCGCTCATCAGCCGGCAGCCGGACACGTCCAGGTACTGCAGGCTGGCGCAGTGCGCCATTATGGCGCGCAGAGCACCGTCCGTCAGTTCCACACAGCCCTGAAACGGCCAGGTCACGTCAGGCCCGGGGGTTCATATCAGAGTCGGGTCAAGTCAGCATTGCCAGGTACGGGCCATTAGGTCAGTGCATCCCGTGTTCCGCGAGGTTCGAGTCACGTCCGGCACGGTGAAAACGGCCAAGGGTCAGGCTCAGGTCGGGCGCGTCGGGCAGGTCAGGCCAAGTAATCGGCTGGGGCCACAGTCACGAAACACTAATCTGGGATCAAAGCAGGTTGGCAAGAGCCCAAGACAGACACGCACCACGGGCTCTTGTGATTTTCTATTCCACGCAACACATCGCGGCACATCCTTCACCTCCACCTCCAGGTGTTTGAGCCTCCCTCACCTGTAGCTCGAGGTGCTTGAGCCTCCCTAACCTGCGGCTCAAGGTGCTTGAGCCTCTCTCACCTGCAGCTCGAGGTGCTTGAGCCTCCCTCACCTGCAGCTCGAGGTGCTTGAGCCTCCCTTACCTGCAGCTCGAGGTGCTTGAGCCTCCCTCACTTGCAGCTCGAGGTGCTTGAGCCTCCCTCACCTGCAGCTCGAGGTGTTTGAGCCTCCCTCACCTGCAGCTCGAGGTGCTTGAGGCGCGGCGCGTGCCGCACCAAGCCGGCCAGCCCCTCGTCAGTGAGCGCCACGCAGTGGGCGAGCCGCACCACCTCGAGGCCGGGGCAGTGGCGGCCGAGCCGCGCCACGCCCGCGTCCCCCAGCTGCGGGCAGTGCGCCAGGCTCAGCCGGCGCAGGCCGCCGAAGCGCACCACGTGACTCACGCCTACGTCACTGATGCGGCTGCACTGCGACAGGTCCAGCTCGGTCAGACCTGGCGGCGGCGCAGAGGAGCCGTGTCACACGGGCGGCCGCGGTGCTGGCTCCAATTCGAGTGTGACGCGGTCGTGACACGAGGAAATCGGTGCATTCCGACCCCAGCTTTGCGATATCGGTGCTCGAGAACCCACATGAGAGGGTTCTTGGCTTGCGCCGGTTCCATGTCAGTGCCTGTTCAGATTTGGATCAGGTCACAGAAGGCCACAACGCCACGAGCAACATGGCGAAACGGTCAGCAGTGCACCACCGCGATGGTGCTGATCTGGGCGATCAATTCGAACCAGAAGCAATGCAGGGTCGCCCTGACAGGCCAGCTCAGTGTCAGGCCAGGTCAAGCCAACGTCAGGTCAGGTCGGTCTTATCTAATCGCCCCATCCGACCGAATCCCGGACCGACTTGCCGCGACACGCGAGTCCGTCGCAGCCGCGCCGGCCCGCCCCCCCCCCCCCCCCCCCCCACTGACATTTCAGGTCGAGCAGGCTGACCCCGGAGCCGGTCTCGTTCAGGTCGATCTGGCTCTGCACCAGCACCTTGCGGCCAGCGTCGCTCCAGATCTCGCGCTCGTGCCGGCTCCTCAGCGAGATCGCGTGCTCGTTGCGACGTGGCGTGGCGCGCGCTGCCGGCTGCTCCGGCTGGGCCAGCAGTGGCGGAGGTCAGGCACGGCCGGGGCCGGCGCGGGGGGATGGCGGCGCGCGCGGCCAGCGCAGCCGGCCCGCTCCGAGCGACAACACAGAACACGAGAACTAGCGTGGAGATAGTGATGCCGGTGGATGGCTACGAACGACAGTAGATCGGTGCCGACGTATCTCGCTGAAGGCGTCAAAGGATTGCCATAGGGCAATCATTTCATTTTAAAAATCCGAAGACAAGGGCTGCCAGAGTTCACTAGTGAAGATGATCCCGATTCGCACAGGTGCAATGGTTAGCGCCATTGGCGTGACGTGAGCACGAGTTTGGGTCGTTCCCTTCTCACCGACAAAAATTATGTCTCGACTAACTATAACTACATTCGTTCATTATCAAGAGACAACATTTTCTGTCAAAATATTCAAATCAAGTCAATTTCATTTTCACATATGAAAGTGCATTCACAAACGAAAGCACAGCCGGACTTGCATTCGAAATACGTCGTTGAATATGTACGATCACGTGGTCCAGTTTCCTCGTGATTATGCCTATCGGCTTGTTTACGTGCCATGTTTGTGGCACGTTTGCCCTTCAAAGGGAGTCCTACGTTATATGGCAACAGCCAAGCGATGTTTTTTGATCAGCCACGCACGTGCTGCTTGCTCCTTCGGTCAGTGGCACCGGTTCCGTGACAATGCGTTGAAATGTCACATTCTACGAAGTAAACAGGTGACCTTGGCTACACTGATCTTTGTCCCCAAAGTGGAGAAACATCGTAAAATTGACTTCCACGTCTTGTTAAAATTTACGTTGCATTTGATGCATTTTTAGGACCAATTCGCCATCATCGTCGCACGGCATACATATAAATATATACATATATATATACATATACATATATACATATATATAAATATATATATATATATATATATATATATATATATATGCATATTGAAATCAGCAAAATACGGACTAAGAGCGGGGCATTACGTTTTAGCAACATAATACTGCATGGTCCGTGGCGAGCGTATCCCTGCGTTCACGAGATCATAAGTCACGTGGCCAGGGGAACTGAACATTTGACTGGTAAAGACGGAGGGAGGGACGACGGGAGAGAGCGGGAGGGAAGAGGGAATTGGGGAGAGAGGGAGACCAAGGCAGATGAGACAGGGGTGAGTGGCAGAAGGCAAGTAGAATTCTGGGACGGAATAGAGACGTATAGAGGCCCACAGAGCGAGACACACCGCGAGAAGGAGACGCAAAGACGGAGACACACCTGCGCGCCGGCCTCGCCATGCAAGAAGGTCTTGTTCGGCTTCAGCTCGGCGCCGTCCGAGATCGGCGTGAGGCCGAGTCCAGTCAGGCCCGAGTCCGTCACCAGGTGGCACTCGGAGATGCGTAGCACTTGCAGGCCTCGCATGTAGCGGCAGATTGCCTGGCGGCAGTGCGGGACGGGTGCGGTCACAGGCACAGCCAGGACGTTCGGAAGACTTAGCGGACTCGACCGGGCTCGCTAGCAGACCGCCTCAGTCTGCTGGCGTCAGGCCGCGGGGATGGCTTTCTCGAGTGGCGCGGTGCACCGTGACCAGCGGGGAGCCCCCTCCCGCCTGGTGCTGGCCGGCTCGCACCTGCAAGCTAGCGTCGGTGACGGCCGTCAGGCAGCGGCTCAGGTCCAGCTCCAGCAGCGTCGGCAGCTGCAGCGCCAGCCGCAGCACCCGCTCGGCCGACAGCTTGGCGGCGCGCAGCCGGAGCCGGCTCAGTCGACTCCCGTCGGCCGGCAGCGCCGCCGCCGCCGCTTCGGCCGGCAGCCGCTCGTTGTCGGCCAGGTCGAGCTCCTCCAGTGCCGCGCCCGCCAGCGGCGCCAGCGCCTCGGCCGTCAGCCGGTCGCAGCGGCGCAGCGCCAGCCGCCGCAGTGCCGGCAGCGCTGCCAGCGCGCGCACGGTGGCAGCGTCGGCGCGCGTTCCGCTCAGCTCCAGCTCGATAAGCCGCGTCTGGCCGGCCAGCAGCGCGGCCAGGCCGGCACCGCTCGCACCCCGGCACTCGGCCAGCGCCAGCCGCGCCGGCCGCAGCGCCGCCTCGGCCGCCAGCTCGGCCAGCGCCGCGTCGTCCAAGTTGGTGTGACCGAGGTCGAGCGCGCGCTACGTCGGCGCCGTGCTCGCGCAGGAACGACAGCACGCACTCGAACGTGAGCACCGAGCTGGAGACAGCGCCGGCGCCGCCGGCCGGGTAGAAGCGCCGGTAGATGCCCGGGTGGAAGCCGATCTGACAGCCGCGCAGCGAGAGCGACTCGAGCCGCGGCGAGAGCGCCAGCAGCCGCACCAGGATCGCGTCCGAGAGGTAGCGGTTGCTGGAGAGGTCCAGCTCGCGCAGCGACGGCAGCGTGACGCCCAGCGCCGAGTCGCGCGAGAGGATGCTGCCTGTCATGAAGAGCGCGTCGCAGCCCACCAGCGCCAGCTCCTCCAGATTCTCGCAGAACGCCAAGATCTGGGATGAGCAGAGCAGAGGCCGGTTGTCACAAAGTATAAGCAGTTTATTGCGCATGGTAAGCAGTCATAACGTGATGTGCCCTGAAATGATTTGCATACCCATTGAACGTGCGGCCATGCGTAAAATGGCGGTGCGATACGCAAACCCAGAAATCGGCAACAAAAGTAGCCATTTCTCAGCATCCAATGTGGTGTATTCAGAGTAGCCCAACCGAAGACCGCCGCACGGACGGACCGGGTCAAGCAGCGGTCACCGGCGACTGCACCAGCTCGTCCGGCGGCGCGCCCGCACCTGCAGCAGGTCCGTCTCGCGGATGGTGCAGCTGTGCAGCCGGAGCGAGGTGAGGCCGGGCCCGGCGGCGCGCCACAGGCCGGCCAGGTGACCAGCGGCCGTCACGTCCGCTTCGCGCAGCAGGAGGCGCGTGAACGGCGCCGCCGGCCGCGCCAGCAGCGGCGCCGCGCGCTCGGCACCGGCCGCGTCCAGGCAGACGGTGCGCGAGCGCAGCAGGACGGCACTGCTGACGTCGTGCCACAGCCGGCACACCAGGCCGGCCGCCAGCACATCAGAGAAGGACAGCTGCGAGAAGATCTCCACCAGGATCTGAGGCGGCGCGGCGTCCGGTGAGCCATGCGCCATTGGGATAACACCAACATGCTTACCGAATCAATGATCACCGACTGGTCGTCATGTCGCTCCTAATTAGATGACTGGAAGAGTAGAAAATCCACATGGTATGGCTGATTTGATGCCTGGTCTTTTTATAGGGAGTCGTACTCTCACTTAATGTTACATCAGACCCTACAACCCACAATTTTCGGAATCAGCGTTTGGAGAGGGCCCTGTACACCCAACTTGGAGGCAGACGCGACACCCCGCAACGTCCATCTGGCGATGTTACGCGCTTTGTAACTCGGAAGCCACGCAAAATCCCATCCCAAAGACCGTGAACCATAACCACAACCTGACAACCACAACTCACCAGGGCCTACCCGACACGCTGATTCCAAAAATTATGGGTTGTAGGGTGGAATTTTATGTAACTTTCCGAGATACGAGACGCGTAGCATGCCAGCTTGATATTGCAGGGCGTCTCTATTGCCCTAAAATGCTCTGTGAAAGGCCTTCTCAACACGCTGGCTCCAAAAGTCACTGGCTTTGAGGTGCGATTTTGCATAACTTCCCAACTTTACAAGACACGTAATATGGCAGTTTGATCCTACGAGGCGCCGCGATCACCCTCAAATTTGGTGTGCAGGGCCTTCTCCAAAGGCTAAGTCCGAAAAAAACATGGGTTGCAAGAATGGATTTTGCCTAACTTCCTAGTTACAAGAAGTGTAACATCCCAGTCTGATATTGCGGGGGCGTCTCGATTGCTTTCAAGTTTGGTGTGCAGGGTCTTCTCAAGACACTGATTTCGAAAAGCATAGGTTGTGGGATGGTATATTGCGTAACTTTCGGGTCACAAGACGCATAACATGCTAGTTGAACATGGTGGGGCGTCTTGGTTTGCTTTCAATTTGGTTGCAGGGTCATGCTCAGCACGCTGAATTCGAACACCCAATTTGGAGGCAATCGAGACGCTCCCCAATACCAAACTCAGGATGTAACGCGTCTTGTACTCAAAAGTCACGCAAAATCCTACCCCGAAGGCAGCAATGTTTGGAATCAGCGTATTCAGAAGGCCCTGCACACCACATATGGAGGTAATCGAGACGCCCCGCAATATCAACCTAGCGTATTACGCGTCGTGTGTCTCGGAAATTACACCAAGCTCCACTCCAAGGGCAGCGATTTTCGGGATCAGTGTGCTGAGAAGGCCCTGCAGACCAAATTTGGAGGCAATCAGAATGTCATGCAATATCGAAGTGGCGTGTTACGCGTCTTGTAACTCAGAAGTTACGCAAAATTCCACCCCACAAACCACGATTTTCGGAATCAGCGTATCGGGAAGGCCCCTGCACACCAAATTTGGAAGCAATCGAGACGCTCCACAGAATCGAACTGGCATGTTACGCGTCTCGTAACTCCAAAGTTACGCAAAATCCCACCCCAAAGACTGATTTTCGGAATCAGTGCGTTGAGAAGGCCCTGCAAACCAAATTTGGAGGCAATCGAGATGCCCCGCAACGGTGATCTGGCGACGTTACGCGCATTGTATCTCAGAAGTTATGCAAAATCCCACACCGAAGGCAGAGACTTTCGGCATCAGCGTGTCGAGAAAGTCCTGCACACCAATTTTGGAGGCGATCGTGACGCTCCAGAATATCCAACTGGCAGTTGAATATCAATCTGCTGCTAGATTGACGGACTAAATTACAGAACACACACGTTGGAAAAAAACGACGCAAATAAAATGTTTTACTTTCGTAATGGTGAACGGGGACGGGAATGAGATTGCTCCCGCAGGGACGGCTACTTCAAATCCAAATTCTGGACTGCAGGATTTCGGGAAAATTGGTATTACTGATCAAATTGTACGCGTCTCTTGTGACAATAAGTGAACAGTACGAAAAAGTGGGATACTTTATTTAAGGGTGCTAGAGGTCCCGTAAGTCACATTCAGTGAGGTTATAGGCATCTGGCATGCTCTAAGACCTAACCTGCAATAAAACAGAAGGGAACATAATTTTCAGGGTGGCAATGCTTAGGGCCTCTGTGAGGTGTGAGGCATCTCTTCGGGAAGCCGTCATTGGCGAAATAGCCAAGACGGTGTCCTGTCAACATCTCATCAGTTTCAACACTATAACAATGGCGCAGTACAGAAAACTATGCATGTAGAGACCGGTATATAGATAGAAAGAAAAGATCACAAAACACTTTAAAAAGAGCAAGATAATGGCAACAACATAGACAAAGGCAGAACAAATCAAACAGAACAAGCCTGCAGAATATCCATCTGCTGCAATCCTACAGCCTCCAAGACTTTTGCGACACCGTTGCTATGCACTGACCTCGTAGGGAACAACACGGCCATTCTGGGCTCCAGCAGTCATAGTGCTCTTCTGTTCATCCACTCAAAATAACATCTGAAACCAAAACATTCATTCAACTTCCCAGAATCGCGAGCTTGAGTTGGTTTGCTCCTGGCAGGTCCTTCAGCTACGTGGTTTGACGTTGATCAGCTTTGCTCATCATCTCTCATCTCATGTTACACTCCATCTTCCGAAAAGTCTGCAAGAGACTGCACAATATCAGAAATTTGTGCATGGTCTGCCATCTGTCCATTCCCTAAATTAGCAGGCTCTCTGTGAAAATGGTCATAGGCCTGCTCTATTGCCGCTGACTTGAATGCAATGTAAGGGCGAGGGCATTGTTGCGCTGTAATGCACTGCAGGAACAATGATACCATTTACAATGATGGTGACAGTTTGAAGATGTCATCATGATTTCAGCATATGTAACATGCTGGTGCAAATTTGCAATGAGCCAACAGCACAAAACTGTGTGGAGCTGGAGAGTTGTCCCCCAATGTTTCAAGTGTGTTGGGGGTTGGGTCATCATGCCTCTGATGCAAGCAGTAGTTTCTCTGTAAAGCATAATGACACAGAAAATGTTGCATCACAGCTTATTAAATAGCTCTAATAAAAGCTGAACTAAAATGACCAAAACAACAGCATGTACTAGCAAACAGTATTTAGAGTATGGATTAGCTTAATACTTGGCTGTGAAGTCATGACCAACTCCCAACATCATGTTTCCTTTACCTCCCCAATGTGTTAGATCTCACCAATTTTGAGATCTTTACAGCACAAACAAGCATTTGGAATGAGCTGAATTGTTCCAAGAAGAAGCTGATGTTCATTTAAATGATGCATAACATGCAGCTAGTTTATGTATTATCAAGCAATAAACACTTGTTTAACAGCATAAACTTTGCCAAGATCCAGACTAATTAAACTTTGTTTTATAACAGGGTAAATGCATGATTTCATGAAAGGAAGGGACAAACTTCAAAATTATTTCCTAAAAAGCATATTTAGCATGCAAGATTTCTTGCATAGCATGCAGCTTAGTTTTCTGGCCATTTGTAGAGGCACATGTTTTTTTACTAACTTACAAGATTTAATTATATCCATCTGGAAAAAACTTTTAATAAGGGAAGGGCATCCTTTCTCACCAGGTCTGAGGAGCATTTCCTCCCTTTCAATGCTACCAAGCTTAAGGTGTGAAGAAGTTACCTCAGAACTGTTAGAGACCACAAGCTTGAATTCCTTGTGCAGATAGTACAAGTGGTCTCACAAACATTATCATGTTAACATTTTATGCTGCTAATGTTGTACAGGACCATGGTGTATCCATTTAGGGAGTAAGACAACTTTTTCTGGGGCCCATTTTGTAAGCTGGATCAGGAAATAGCTGGAGCAGGTTTATCAATGCTGGCAACAACAAACTACACATTTTATCAAAGAAATGAGGCACCAGCCCTATCCTGAGAGGGTCTTAACTCCTCCAGATGCCTTTACTGCACAGCCAACAGTGCTGAGGATGTTTCTGGGGGCATCTTTCCACTGAGGCATAAGTTCCTGACAAGACATGTTTCAGGGGTGACTCTGGGACAACAAGAGAACATCAATGGAAGCTAGAAAAACCTGGAACCATGATGATCATTGGTCAAAACTCATTCAACACATTACCACCTCCAACAGCACCATAAATCGCTAGTGAGCAGCTTAAATCTAGGCTTAATTTATACTGGGCTTATATCATGAATGACATACCTCCCTGATCCCTTCCCTAAAATGAGACTGGTTGCCTGAAGAGGAGCCCAATGAGACCAAGATTGATCAACCAAATATTCCTCAAATTTTCAATCAACATAAATTAAGGTAAGGTGGTATGAGGCAAAATATAGCTTAGTGCCCCCCACTTGAATATGTCATTGTTTTACCGAAGGATGGAACATTAAGAATTACTTACTTTTTATATCAAGGGAAAGGTAGCATGGACTGTTGACAAAATTCTGTACTTTAAAGCCATGCTCACTGACCTCTGGTGAATCATGAACAAAGCTTTGAAATATGCATTTTTAAAAAAGCTAATGCATCTTTGGAAACATATCTAAAGCAGTACCTCCTGGTGTATTCAAAATCATTATTATCAAAATAAGGTTCTCCAGTGCACAACGTCAAAAATAAACTTGATGAAAGTTCTTTCTTACTTATATTAATTTGAAAATACCATTCCCCTGTAGGGTGGTGTCTTGTTGGTTATTTGACCTTTCAAACTGCCCTCACCTTACTCCTTCAGTGTGTGCCTTACTAATGTGCCTAAGTGCCTCACTGATGAGTTGTTGAACCTGCATATGCGCGAAGCTACCTCATCTCAGAATAAGAATGGCCAACGTCCAGAAAAGCTGAAATAGTGATATGGAAGCTATGGTACAGTTACGATACATAAACACAATAATAGAATAGGACGGTAATTGGACGCCGCCGGTCAGGCCTTCACATCCAGTACGCTCTCTCGGTCGTGCTTCAGGCCGCACAAATATACATAAGAACAAATATGCATCATCATGCGTACTGGGAATTCTGGACTTGAAATCTTTTACATGAAAATTCACAACGCCCCCAACCCCCAGGCATCGCGGGAACCAGAGCACCCGCAGACCACTTACTCCGCGGCAGGTTTGTTATGGTACACTCAAATGTCATAACAAAGCCGTATTTGTCCTTTTATGGGATCTCGTATCAATAAAACTCGTGACCATAGCTGCCATATATGGTCATCTCCGTGGGAAAAATGTTTGTTTTTCGTTGCTCTGGTTTTCGTTTAATATTTTGCAGATTTTGTTTGGTTTATCCATTCCACTCATCTGGGGCATGAGTGTCGATTTTTATTATTTTGGGTAGACAACTGTCCTCCCCAAATGCCCAATTCACACCTAACGGTGAGCTTACACACCCCGTATTCTGGAATCAAGTTCAACTTCAAACAGAACATTGAAAAGGGTATTTAAATGACAACATTTTTTAAGAAGAGTTCTTATTTTGTGCACATGTGCCAACCACAAAGAAAATGAAAACTGGGATGCAACGTTTAATTCGGTGCAGATGATTAAGCTAGCAAGATTGCTATATTTTTCGGAAGATGACGTATTTGTCAACCCAATGTTTTTCTCGAAATACACCAGGTTTTGCTAGGTAACGGGCACCGTACTTAAAAAGCTAAATGCATGAGCGATCAGCTAGCGAGACTTTAGGTGGGCATGGGTATGGCGGATATGATGGAACCATAACCACTCGAGTTATGCCCAACTGGTATGGCGATTAGGTCAGCATCAGGTACGGGGATTGGTCAGCTCGAAGAACAGCATGCATGGTTCACAGCTGTCGGTATAGCACATACGGATGGGCTGGACTCTATAGTCATGATACTCGCACTACCAGTAGCGCAGGAAGGGGGGGGGGGGGGGCACAGAGAGCACGTTCCCCTCCCTCCTCCCCTTAGGTTCTGAGGGACCCGAAGGGCTCCTCGGAAAGGCCCCTGAGACTGAGTCCATAAGGGCGTACAATTCGGTCAGACGCCACCAGTAGCGCACAGTCGGCACCGTGGCGGCATGGGCCTAAGGGCCCATTTCTCAAGCAGGGACAACGCCGGAGCCAGGCATTTACATTGTTCGAGGACCCCACAGCCCCTAACAGGGGCCTGTGTTGTCAATGGTCCCCGAGTCGGCCAGCGGCAATATTCGAGGAGGCCCAAAAAGCCTAGAGGGTGCATCCAGTCCGACAAACAAGGGCCCGATTGGAGCGTCTAAGGGCATGAACGACTGATCGGATTCTTATTCAGGGGCCGGACCTGCGAAGACGGACCATCAAATAGCGGTCAGAGAGCCCTTTGCGTTAATCGGGGACCACCTGAGTCGATATGGGCCTATATGTCGGTCAGGTACCACCATACCATGTAGTTGGCTCCGTGTCGGTACGGGCCTGAGGAGCCACTTCCCAATCAGCTTTGAAGCCGGGGCCAGTGATTTGCGTTGGTCGGGAGCCTTGTATCTGTCAGCGTCCTACGGCGCCTAACAGAGGGCCCTGTGCTCGCAACGGCCCTCGAGCGGCGCAAGGGAAGTGTTTGATGAGGCCCGAAGAGAGACGCGGGTGTCCTACCGGACCTGACAGTTAAAGGCCAAGAGGGGGGGGGGGCACACGGGTCTGAAGGACTGGCTGTAGGTCACATAAAGAATCGCGGCCAGTAAGGTCGTGACCTGAAATGTCAGCCAGAGGTCCTCTTGCACCGTTTTAGCAACCCCTGAAACAATGCAGGTGTCTATGTCGTTCAGAGACCACGAGCACCGAACAGCCGGCTCCATGTCCGTCTGAGCCCTTGAGGTCCATTTCCCAAGGGCTTCTGTGTCGGTGGGGGGGCACAGTGCCGAACAGGGGTCCTGTGGCGGCAAGTGGCCCCGACTCGGAGCGGTGTTTGAGGTGACCCGAAAAGGGGCCGAAGGGCCTCTCAAGACCAAAGATCAAAGATCTGATGGGATGGCTGAAGGGTCCGAAGGGCTGGCTGAAGGCCACCTTAAGGACCCCCGCCCATAGGGTCGTGATCCCAAATGTCACGAAGATGATCTCTTGCACCGGCAGGGACCCTGAGACAGAGTGTTCCTTTATTTCGGCCAGAGTTCGCTACCAACGAACAGTCAGCTCCGTGTTGGTCCGAGCTCTGTAGGTCCGTTTCCCAAGCCAGGGCAAGGCCGGGCCCGCGGTTCACATCGGTCCGGCTCCCGTATCGTTCAGGGGCCCACAGTACCGGACAGGGCATTCTGTGTCAATAAGAGGCCTCGAATCAGTCAGGGGAAGCTTTGTTCAATAAGGGCGTGGACGGGAGCCCGAATGGCTGGGGATCTCTTGCGTTGGTCAGGGCCCTCGGACAATTGAGGGAAACAAGGACTTATGATGAGTGTTCACATTGAGGCAATAGAAGAGTCCTGTGCCAGTTGGGGCCCCCAGTACCGGACGATGGGCCCTCCAGCCCTTTTTCAGCATGGGTCCCTTACGTCCAAGTTGAGTCTATGTGCCAATTATTTGATTACCCGCGGTGAGTAGAGGTGTTGTTGCGTTATTGACGGTTCATACATCGATCCGGGGTCAATTGCGCGGGTCAGAAGGCCTCCCGTGTCAGGGAGCGAACCAATGTGATACGATGAATCCCTCTAAGGGCCTCCGGATCGGCCAGGGGATGCCGCCCGTGTCGCCAGAATGACCTCCGGAGGACGCACCGCGGTGGGGCAGAATGGCCCTTCAGTTCTTGACCGGGAGCAGAAACGTGCCCCGTGGTATTGTATTCAAGGGGGCCCTGTACCACAAGGAAGTAAGAGGTCTCATTAGTGCTGAATGGAGTGGGTCGAAATGAACTCAAAGCGCACAGGCCCATCCGATGTTTTCCTCAGAACGTTCTCTGTTTTGCAGAATCAACTAGTGAAACAAATACCACCAAAATGTTTGCGCGTGCGCACCGGGCGCCGATAGTGCAGTGGTTTACGCGCCTGTGCTAACCACTGCTCGTCAAGGAACCCACAGGCATCAGGTTCGATTCCCCGCGGTGCCCGCCCTTCCCGCCAGGGTAAGAGGCTGGTGGCGCATACAGCCCCAGCAGCTGATTGCGTCATGAGGCCCCGATGACAGGTCGTAATATCGAAGAGCAAGGATAGCGATGGTCTGGGTCGCAGTTTTGGCCAAACCGAATGGCGTTGGCCACTGCAAGTAATGCCAGGGGGCGCGCGCCGGGCACGCGACAATGACCATAGTAAGACAGTGTTTCTGAATGTCTTTCGAAATTAATTCGTACAGTTCAAGGATTACAGTACGTGAGTATGTTTTACAGCTCTGGGTGTCCTTTTGCATAGGATTAACAGTTACAGTAGCACGGCAAATATGATTTTTGTTCTTTACTCCTCTAGCTCCACATCCAGATTCCAGCACCACTTCGCGGTGCTGTAGCCCAGAACGTCATTGTCGTCAATCTAAAAACTGCACAGATGATACATACGCCTGGAGTATGTCTAGATGTATAATTTGGTGTCTAAAAGCGTTCAAAGGTACTTCTTTCAGATGCGTCACTTTTTGTCCACCTGTTGGCCATGCCCTAGAGCAAGCCACGTGATGCCGACGCTAGGCGGCCAAAGGAGACTGCAACGCCTGGCGTGGAGATTTTTGTTTCTGAGACGTAGGCGTAAGAGCGTTTCAAAAAGTGGAGGGGGGGGGGCAAGCTAAGGGCGTACTTCAGACTTTTTCTGGAAAGCAAGCTCGAAGCCCGGGGGAGGGGGAGGGTGGAGATAGAGGTTGTTATCACTCTTTAGATTCGGAAGCTTGAAACTGCCGAAAACAGTGTGATAAAAGCCATAAAACTGGAGATTTTCCTTTAATATAGATTGAATAACTTTCATATAGAATGAAAGCTCTTCCGTCATATATTCCTTATTTGAACCCTGCTCCCGTCTGCCGTCGGCGGCCAATGCTCAGACCCGGTTGTCTTCCGCATGACTGCGAGCTGACCTTATGGCTACTTTGTTGCATATTTCTGGATGAGCATTGCTACCAATTGTTGCCTAAAACATGTCGGACACCTGCGACAGTGTCTTTTTCTGAATCATCTTCCTTTACACCACGCCAACTCAGAAAAAAAGCCTCCGGGAAGCCAGGGGCGGATCCAGAGGAGGGTGCGGGGCCATACCGCTTAGGGTCCCGAAGGGGACTATTGGCTCCGAGGGGGCCCATGGCCGCTCGAACAGGGTGCAGTCTTTTTTAACACAAAACGCAATAAAACTGGGTATCTCCAGCCTTGAAGACCACCATGAACAGTTGTAAGCAGAAGTAAAGGGCGTATGAAAAGTCCAAAAAATTATTCAATTATTGAAAAAGTTGTGAACTGGAAATTTTAAGTCTCATTATACTGTCTAGGCACCCCATGCTGTTTCTGGGGGATCTATATGTTCACTTACAGGGATCACTTCGATCGTTAAGGTGCACTCAATTTTGCCACTCATTTCGTTGCATTTGTTCGGAGGGCCCTGCGCTGCTCTTGGGGTCCTTCCTGCTAGCGTGCCGGGGCACTCTTGTCAATCACGGGCCCTTCCACGGATTCTTTCCATTCACCAGAAAGGCATCATGAGCTATAGCTGGGGTCCCATATATTGACCTGCCGGGGTATTCTCGGTTGCTCAGGGGCCCGTCACGTGGGTATCGGTTAACCAACCGACACACTTGCGATATGCTCATGGGCCCTCTTCATTGGTCTGGGGCGTTTTCAATTCTCTGTCACTTGCTTAGGACCCTACATTCTTGTCGGGGGTCTATCTGATGGCCTGCTTGGGCACGCTCAGTCGTTCGAGGACCCTCCACACTGGGTATT